GCTGCTGCCGCCGCCTCCGAAGCTAAGCCGTCGGCGGTGCTGGAAAGGGCAGAGGTAGCCGACGCGACGGCCGGCGCGGGTGGGCGATCGATGAGCAAGGAGGACAAAGCGAAGGCGGATGTAGAGGGGGACAGCGCGGGTTTGCGCCCGGAGGAGGTGAAGCCGGCGGCACGGGAAGGTGCAGCCGAGGTGCACGCAGCGCAGGGTGTGCCATTCGCGCGTGTGATGCCGGCAGGGTCCCTAGGTCGGCCAGACCCAGCCTCAGATGCAGCCCAAACCCCACTCCCCCTAGGTTTGGTTGTCTCAGACACCCAAATCTAACCCCCGGATCCAGAACCCAATGATTACGATCACCCGAAATGCATACGGTCCCATCTTGTCAGATCTTGGAATCTAAGCACGGATTAATTATTGCTTGGATGGGGTGGGTGACCACCGTGGCATGCCAGGTGTGCCCAGGAGATGGCAGTGCCAAGTGGCTACTTTTTGTGTACATGCGTTTTTCCCTGGATTCTCTAATATGCTTTCCCATGCCAAACTCTCATGAATGCTGTTGGCCAAACAACCCATTTTTTCCCCTTCTGAAAAAGTATTTAGAATCAGTGTAGGCTTTCTTGGGTAAATAAGAACACATGAGTGTACGTGTGATTTGCCTCATTGCAACACTAGGCTGAGTTAAGGCAACACCCAGACACGATAAAAAAATGGGTTTGCAGATTATATGGGTCCATTATGCCACAGATGTAATGATATTCCATCAGGCCGCGTCGCACAAGCGCCAATGTGTGCATAGAGAAATGAAAGGTGACTTCGTCTCTGCGAATTCCATACAATGAGTAAATTCACGCGTCACTTATGAGAAATTGCCGATTGTTCTTTGGGCACGTGGGAAAGCTATACGATAAAAAAATACTATATTTCATCATCTTCCTGGTTCTTTCAGTAAAGTCACGTAGAAGGGAAATAATACAATAATAAAAATAAAACATAAAATAATTCTCACGACGTTTCGGCCACAACGCAAGCAGCCGTCCTCAGGTGAAGAAACAGGTCTGTCGGAAAGACAGTCTGAAATTCCGACAGACCTGTTCTTCACCTGAGGACGGCTGCTTGCGTTGTGGCCGAAACATAGAATTATTTTATTATGTTTTCTTTTTATTATTTTATTATTTCCCTTCTACGTGACTTTACCGAAAGAACCAAGAAGATGAATCCCTGCAGTCACGAAAGCTTTAAATCGAAATATATTTCACCAGTTAAGGCCCACTGAGCTACATAGCTTTTTCAGAAGCAACCTGGCTATCACAAATGATAGCTCAAAGAAGTGGCTCATCAGCATGTGGAGATCTATAGCATCCAAATACTCTTAAATGCATGTTTCTAAATGTGGAGGAAATAAACGGAGGAACCAGAGAAAAATCCACACGACCACAGGGGAGAACATGCTAATTCCAAATATACAGGCGTCAAGGTTGGGATCAAACCCACGACTTCCTGCATACCAGGCGAGGTAGTTAACATCTCGCCACCGCGAGATGTTAACTCAAAACGCTCGCGTGATCTCACTCCATTGTAAGCCCAGAGCAACGCCGATGTACCTCTGTGGCCTTCAAGCGTTCGCTTGTCGGGGTACTGTCAGTCCACTGTACGTGATTCAAGTTTAACGCTTGCGTGCAAACTGATGACGGTGCATTTGTAAACCACAACAATAAACTTCGACTAACACTGCGTATTTTGCATTGCGTTCTTAAAACACTGTGTGTTGCGTGTGACGGAAAACATGGTTTTGTACAGCTTACACAGAAATGGCAACGCAGGACTTGGATAATGGGCATTATTACTGTATTCTTTGGATTATAAGATGCTCTGTAAAGGAAAGAAGCACCCCAAATTTGTTCCCGGTGTCAATTAAATTATTCAAATCTGGTCCAACGGATTACAATATAAGGGTGGAAAGTGGGTAGTCATCAGGAGAATATGGTATTAGCCCGAGATATAAATAGGATGCTGCCGTGCTGTAAATGGGAAGTAACATCCAAAGTTCAATCCAGAGGTCAAGAATTGGAATCAATCTCCCAGAGTAACCATTGAAACAATGGTGCAGGTCTATTCAATCCACCGCGCTTCTGTGCACCCACTATGAACGGGCATGAAGTCGATGACAAGGCAGGTCGTGTGTGGTGGGGTTAAAAGACCGGTCGGAGTTGAGCCATCGTGTGCGCTACCGTCGTGGTCCAAATTTGAAAAAGTACACGGCAAAGTCACTCAGTTTTGGCTGTACATCGCAATCATTCATTTATTAAAGTTTTTAAGCCAGCTAGTCAGGATTTGGCAAAAAACCCTAGCCCACTTTTCACCCAGGCAACTGGAGAGCACGCACGTAATGTTACTAACCTTAGATTAAAACATTTAAGAATCGCAATTAAGAGACAAACAACATACTACGTTAAAATGAATCGACTAAATTACATCTCATTAAGGGTCATCCAATCATCGCCCCCTTGTGCAAAAAAGAGACTCGCTGGACCCTCTTGAAAGAATCGAATGTTTATTTATCCAGCAGAAATCCGATGAGCTATGAAGCTCTTTTTCACAAATGTCCAGCAGGGGTGGGGCAGAGTTACAATACAAACATCTATTGGGGGGTAATGTAGGAAATGCAAGCAAATTACCAAAAATACATAATATAGATCAAGCATATATTGTAAGTATAAATTGCAAAAGTACAGTATTTAAATTCCTGATATTTTCAACGATAACTGCAAATAAATAACGCGATCTAACCCAAAAACGTTTATTATGAATGATATTGGTCGCGAAGGCCGACTTGTTAAAAAGATAACTGCAAACTTGGGCAAGGCAGAAAAACATCAACAGTCCCAGACCACAACAAAAACAGTGCGCATTACAATTTAACTATCGATACACGGGTATCAAAGCTACAAATCGCATTTGCAAACGTGGTTGCATCCTGCAATGTGTTAGTATCCAGCGTAAAGAGTCATGGGACTCAATTAGCTTATCCGAGGTAAACAAGCAAAGTAAAAAACTAAATCGATCTCCTAGATCAGAATCAGAATATGTATCTATACTGGAGGAATCCGATGAGCGATAAATATTTTTTCACAGATGTCCAGTATGGGCAGGTCAGAACGTTACAACAACAAACAATACAAAACAAATCAAGATAGGAGTTCAACGTATAGCAAAGGTAAACAAATAACGATTTAAAGCTTTCGTGACTGCAGGGATTCATGTTCTTGGTTCTATCGGTAAAGTCACGTAGAAGGAAAATAATAAAATAATAAAATAAAACATTAAATAATTCTCACGACGTTTCGGCCACAACGCAAGCAGCCGCTGCCTTCTCAACAGCCCTGTTCTCCACCTGAAGACGGCTGCTTGCGTTGTGGCCGAAACGTCGTGAGAATTATTTAATGTTTTATTTTCATTATTTTATTATTTTCCTTCTACGTGACTTTACCGAAAGAACCAAGAAGGTAAACAAATAACTTTTAAACATATACTAATAAAACTAAATTATTGTTAATCCTACCAGCTAAAGCCCAGAGCTATTATATTATTTTTCAGAAGCGACCAGGCCACAAATGATAGCTCAACGAAGTGGCTTATCTTGTCGACATTTATAGCAGCAAAGTAATCTACTATATTCTGATAAATCCCACCATAACACATTAATTGGTATTCTTGGTTCTTTCGGTAAAGTCACGTAGAAGGGAAATAATAAAATAATATTAATACAAAACTATATTTATATTTTATTATTTCCCTTCTACGTGACTTTACCGAAAGAACCAAGAATATGAATCCCTGCAGTCACGAAAGCTTTAAATCAAAACATTAATTGGTGTAACGCTTGGCCAGAACGAGCTCCACATGTCCTCACCCAGCAGGTTCACTTCCTCCTCGTCGATGACGTGGGGGGGGGTTCGGGGTAGGGGGTTGGGAAAGGGGGAGGAGGGGGGGGAGGGGGTTGGGGGATAGGGGGAGGGGAGATGGGGACGGGGGGTTGGGGAAGAAGGGGATAGGGGGAGATGAGCTGTGGGGGGATAGGGGGAGGGAAATATGGGAGGGGGGAGCGGTGGAGGAATAGGGGGAGATAGGGGGAGACTGGGGGATAGGGGGAGGAGCATGTGCGATAGGGGGAGGGGCATGCAGGGATAGGGGGAGGGGCGTGTGGGGATAGGGGGAGGAGCATGTGCGATAGGGGGAGGGGCATGCAGGGATAGGGGGAGGGGCGTGTGGGGATAGGGGGAGCCTGTGCGATAGGGGGGAGGGGCCGATGATAGGGGGAGGGGCGTGTAGGGATAGGGGGAGGGGCGTGCAGGGATAGGGGGAGGGGGGAGATAGGGGGAGGGGCGTGTAGGGATAGGGGGAGGGGCGTGCAGGGATAGGGGGAGGGCGTGTAGGGATAGGGGGAGGGGCGTGCAGGGATAGGGGGAGGGGCGTGCAGGGATAGGGGGAGGGGCGTGCAGGGATAGGGGGAGGGGGAGATAGGGGGAGGGGCGTGTAGGGATAGGGGGAGGGGCGTGCAGGGATAGGGGGAGGGGCGTGTAGGGATAGGGGGAGGGGCGTGCAGGGATAGGGGGAGGGGCGTGCAGGGATAGGGGGAGGGGGGAGATAGGGGGAGGGGCGTGTAGGGATAGGGGGAGGGGCGTGCAGGGATAAAGGGAGGGGCGTGCAGGGATAGGGGGAGGGGGGAGATAGGGGGAGGGGCGTGTAGGGATAGGGGGAGGGGCGTGCAGGGATAGGGGGAGGGGCGTGCAGGGATAGGGGGAGGGGGGAGATAGGGGGAGGGGCGTGCAGGGATAGGGGGAGGGGGGAGATAGGGGGAGGGGCGTGTAGGGATAGGGGGAGGGGCGTGCAGGGATAGGGGGAGGGGGGAGATAGGGGGAGGGGCGTGCAGGGATAGGGGGAGGGGCGTGCAGGGATAGGGGGAGGGGGGAGATAGGGGGAGGGGCGTGCAGGGATAGGGGGAGGGGGGGTGCGTGGTGACGTCACGCGGGGCCTGCACTGTGCCGCGTCTGCCTCGCCATTACAACCACAAACAATCGGCGCGGCCGCGCGTCACACAAATCGCGGCATCGCTGCCGCCCGCGCGGATCCACGATTCGGCCAAAGCGGACAACGGTAACAACAGCAGCAGCACCATCACTCGTAACAACAACAACTATCATACGAACAGGCGCGCGGCGTCGGTGGCTGGCGTCATGTACCCGGGCTGGAGCCAGGCCTCAGGCCTACACGGGTCGGGCCTGCCCGCCACGGGTCCCGGCTCCTACTCGGCCTCGGGGCTCGGTGGCATGGCCTACAACAACGCCGGCCTCTCCTCCTCCTCCTCCTCGGCGGCTGCTGCTGCTTCTTCGTCGTCATCGTCGTCTTCGTCGGTCAATTCTGCTGCGCCTGCCTCCTCGTCGTCGACGGGATTCCAAAGCCTGCAGCAGCAACACATGCAGCAGATGCAGCGTCTGCAGCAGATGCACCATCAGCAGATGCAGTCTTTCAATTCGTCGTCGTCGTTGTCATCGTCCCTGTCGGGGACGACGACGACGACCAGCGTCGCCTCGACTGTTGCCTCGCCCGCCGGCTCATTCACGTCCGTGACGTCGTCTGCGAACACGGCCACCTCGTCCATGGCTCCGATCTCGTCGATAGCCTCCTCCTCCTCCACCTCGTCCTCCTCCTCAGCTTCATCCACAAAGCCCTCGTCCTCCACCTCATGCGTCACCCCGGCATTGCCCCCGGGTCCTCCGCCTCCCCTGCCCCCGTCAGGGCCACCCTCAGGCTACGGCTACAACCCCTACTCGGTGGGTGGCGGTGGTGGTGGTGGACCCGCCACCACCACCACGATGCCCCCCTACCACTACTCGGGACACTACGGAGGCCTGTCTCACTACCCCCCTCCAACGCAACCCCCCCAGCCGTACTCCATGGCTGTCTCTTCAACCTCCACCTCGGTGCCTACCTCCACGGCGACCGCGATGCCACTACCCCCCTCCGCCCTCTCATCGGGGATGGAACCTCATCATCAACAACAACACCAGCCCCAGCCGCCACCACCGCCCCTGCCACCGTCAGATGAGCCCCTGCCGCCTCCACCTCCCGATGATGGCGCTGATGAGGTTTGTCACTTTTTGGGGGGCTGTGATTTTCCTTTGTTGTTGTTGTGTGGTTTCGCGTATTTCGCTTGGCACCGACGGCCCATTCGCTGAGCTGCAGTCTTTTTAATTCGCCGCAAGCCGAGGGCTTTTGCCCTCTCGACTTTTTAGTGCCACACACAACGCACGCGCGCAATTCCTGAACTGAAAGTGGTCATCGGCGGTGGTGTAAATGAATGTAAGCAAGATGAAAAGGAGGAAGTAAAAGCGTCTGTCAAAGCACCGGCACAGGTAGAGATGCGCCACGGTGACCTACCGCGTGAGCCCATTAATTTGCAATTCTCTTGCGAGGGCAATCTTGAGACGGAACGCAAAGAGGTCCCCTCGCATTACCAGTGCGACACAAAAAAACACACTACCAATTGGAGAAAACCAAAATGTAGAATACTAACAAGGATGAAGCTGATATACACTTGGTCTGTCTGTATACTGGCGGTGATGACACAACGCCTATTTAATCCAGAACTGTAGAGGTTAGGGAGGGTTAGTGGATCGCAAAAATGTTGCCGAAGTCCCTTTCCGTGGGGCGTCGAGGCGTCGTACCGTGGCTTGCCAGGAGAAGGCGGTACAGGAAAATGCAGACTTTCGTTAACCTCTTGTCCCCTTGTGTATGTGTGTTGCCCCCTCGTATTTCTCGGCGTTCCCCATGTTTCCCCATTTGTATAAACACTCGTCGGCAGAAAACGATCTTCATCTAGAGAGGACTCACTGCCTCGGCGATTGTCAGATGAAATCTTGGATGATGTTATTTAAAACTGAACATTATTATACTTTTGTCTCATTGTCCTTCTGCTGCTGAAATGAGTGTGTCCACGATATTGACTCGTTTGAGTTGTCTAAAACGAGGCTGTGTGCTTAATGCCATCACACAGTGTGTCGATGGAACGTGACATGCAAGGCATGATGGGAGGACATGCTTTGCTGTAAAGAATTCACCTTTTGCTTGTACAGTATTTCCCTTATTTGTTTCCAGCCTTTGCTTAAATATTTAATTCCGTCCGATGAGTCTCTTATCATTCACAGACAGTATATGTGTTTGCACACTGATGGTTTTTTTTATTTGCAGACGGCCGTGGCCAATGTGGGTGACCCTGAGGAGGCTGCCCGGTTGCGACAGCTTCAGCAAGCAGCTGCCCAGTGGCAACAGCGCAAGCAGTGGCAAGAGCAGCAGCAGCATCAACAACACCAGCAGCAGCAGCATCAACACCAGCAACAGCAGCACCAACCGCATCAGCAGCAGCACCAGCCGCATCAACAGCAGCACCAGCAGCAGCAGCAACAACAGCAACAGCAGCAACAACAGCAGCATCAGCAAATGCAACAGGGATACATGCAGAGCCAAGTGGTAAGAAGAGCTCCAGTCATTCTGTGACCACTTCATCGCTGCTACTTACCCTTCCGCGCTTTAGATATTGTGACGTTGGCACCAATGTGTAGTCGGTACTCATGCAACCGCCCCAGCGATTTGGTGTTGACATTGGAATTCAATTTCTGTTGCATTTTCCCCTCGTTTTTTCCTTGTTCATCTCATTTAGTATAATTGTGTTTGTACCATTAGCCTAATTGTAACATTAGCATATCATTTGCACGTACAACGCAAACGTGTGGCCCTGCAATTGCTTGCTCATGCCAGTGCTGGCAGAAAGAATCGCCACTCAAGCAAACTCTGGAGGGTATTTGGTCTACTCTTCCCCACGTTGACCAGACGTGTTAAAAGAGTTGGCCACACTCACACTTTGCCCCCCCCCACCACCACACGCGACCTGCTGATCGACTAATTGTGTCTTTGAACCCATGTATGTAGAATTTAAGAAACTTGCACGAAAGTTTCAACGGACCTTGCCAGTAAATGGAATCGAACCGGCCCCCCTCTTGTTTTGCAAATCCAATGTGTGCCAGCCATTACTGCACGGCAGTTCAGTTGGCATGTATTTTGCACACATGGTTTTTAGCAGTCTCAATTATTGCAATTGTAATTCGACACGTGTATCGTGAGTGTAAGAATCTCCAGATTTAATTTTTAACTGGTGCATTTTTACACGCCTAGGCCACATGAAAACACTAAACTTGAGCGATTTTGCGCTGGATTTAATGTAGCATCTGCATCTGGTATGTATGCAGCCCTTTGTCCATTCACTGCTGGTTGAGGGCTTCCACACACTGTTGCAGGTTACACTGTTGTTCATACTTCATCACGCTCTTAATGCAGGTTGGTGAAGGCGGCATAGAGTGTTATTCTATACAGCGGACGCAGCAGAGTAGGAGAGTTGCATTGTTGTATAGAGATTAATTATTAATAGATGAGAGAATAGGCAGTGTTGCCAAGATAACTATTCATTATGTTGCGTACAATGTCGCCAAGAGCTGTGGGCACCTACTCAAGTGTTCATGTGTGCGTTTTTTAGTCAGTTTTTTTACATCGTCAAATCATTACATTAAAAATCCCACAACATCGATTAATTATTGACTAGCCAACCACCAAACCGTGCACTATGTCCTGTGTGGTCTGGTCAAGCAAGTTCTGTGACTGACATAGCATTGTGAGGCTTTTATCCAGCAGTGGACTAACAAAAAGGGGTATTCAAAAAATCACAAATGTACGTAATGGATTGTCACGTAAGCAATCAATTTTAAATCCGCCATACGGTTTGAACGTTTGCACGTTTGCACGTGCCAATTGGGTCGGTTATTTCTCAAGACAATCAATTATCGATTTGGTGAACAATGATCTATAATCTGTTATCAACCTGAGATCGGTTGATACTGAGTTGTCTACAGCAGGCTACTCAAGCAACACACGGTATCCTCCGAAAACAATTAAATAATTTGGATTCGCCGTACAAATCCACATTTGTCGTGGGGCAACTCAGAATGGCGGCCTTTTTGCTGCCCAGTTATCTGATCTGACAATTCAGTGGCTTATGGATGATTGTATCCCGGTTAGTTGTTTTTGGTGCAAATAGTTAATTTTCATGAAAAAATATTTTGCGTCACATTTTCTAATTCTCTGTCCCCACTAATTCAGGTGACACCGGCGGAGACGCAGCCAGCGCCAGCCGAGAAGAGCGGAGAACAGACAGAGACGCTGGCGGATATTGAGTGGCAACAAGCTCAGTTCGACACGCTTTATGCGCAGTGGAAGACGCAGTTCAACGAGTGGCAGGAGCAATATAAGAACCATCCGGACCACGAGCAGTTTGTGCAGTACGAGCAGCACTGGAAGCAGTGGCAGCAGCAAATGCAGGCGGTGGGCGCAAACCTGCAGCAGCGAAAGGAGCAGCTTACGAAGTCCACCGTTGCGCCTCCGCCCATACCCACGCAGCCCGAGCCGGCGCTGCCATCCGACCCTACCGCTAACCTTGCCACCAACCTTGCCGCCGCCACTGACGCCGTCGCTTCCGCTAAACATTCCGCCGGGACCTCCATCGACGCTGCCACCGGGCCCACCACCAGGCCCACCACCAACGCTACCGCCTGCGTATCCCCCTACGTACCCACCGACATTTCCTCCGGTTTATCCGCCAAATTACTCTCCGCTATACCCCCAGACGATGCCGCCAATGTTGCCTCCAGCTCTCCCATCGACACTCACGCCGCCCGTGAGCTCCTCGCAGGAGGTCGGCAAGGCAGCGAGCGACACAGCGGCAACCAGTGTCACGGCGGTGGCGGCATCGGAAGGAGAGGGATTCGCAGGACCTGTTCCCGGAGCTGCGAGGCCCTCACTGCTATCCCCTCCTCCACACTTCGCTGGGTCCAACATGCCCAGGTACCCAGTGTCTCTTTTCCCCATTGCGCAACAGATGCTGGGCTGGCGCTGTGCAGAGCCAGTCTAGCGTGGACCGGCAGGCACCCCAGATTGTTATTTCTACTGCGGTAGCAGAGACGCTCCGCTAACAGTCTCGCTCGATGAATTGGTCAAGGCGCGTGTAAACGTTGTGCTGACGCCGTGGCTTCACAGTGTACCAACTGACGTCATGTGTTTTGTCTCTCTCTCAAATTTAGTTCTACCTGATGACGACTGCTTATTTTCTTTTTACGTGACTTCACCGATGATGTCTTATTAGTTTTTTTTCTCTAATCAATTTGTTACACTTTCTGTACTTCTTTACGCCCTGTTCAGTTTTGTTCCCTTTTCTTTGTCAGCATTTATTCTTGTGTTTAAGTCATAGCAGGCAATATGCACTGTACATGCATGTCGTATGTAATGGGTTCACCATAGCCCTGCAACCAAGCAAGGGTAGCCACTCCATGAACCACGATGCTTAAAAATAAATCGATTATTCAATGAAGTCGCCATCGAGACAATGACACCTAGCAGTCAAAAAATAAGCTAAATGTCTCTTAAGAAACAAATGCCCTTCCTGTGCACGCCGGCATGAGAATTTCTACTGAGTTTATGTTGTGTGTTTTTCAGACTCGGTGGACCTATGCGGTATCCTCCCCTCTATGGAAATCAAATGCCATCTGGCGGCAGGCCTCCTCAGGGCTCCTTCCAATCATCCGGCCCTCAAACAGAGACGGGCAGCTCTTACCCAGGTTCTTCTCAGCGATTCAACGACCCCTCCCCGGAACGGTCGGGCGCGACTGCCGTACCTCTGCCGGGATCGCAATATTCTAGGTCCGGCCTCCCGGACGGACCCAGAGGACAGGAGGGTACCACGGACGTCGAGAGGTCATCGGCGCCGACGACGGAAAGTTTCGGGTCATTCAGCGGCTCCAGTTCTCAGTTCGACTCCACTGACACCCAGGATGTGGACGCTCGCGATAAGGGCGGTCATGGTGAAGCATCGTCAAGCCGAGGAGGAATTTCTCGATTTGAAGGCTCTCATCTCCAAGGGGCCCACAATCAGGGCCCGAACAGTCAGAGCGAAGGACCCAATATGCAGGGACTCCGTCCGAACGACCAAAGCAGTCAGTACGGCGGTCCACGGTTTCCAGGGCCTCGCTTCTCGGGCCCCAACGCTCGATTTGTGGGACCTCATGGCCCAGGTTCACGTTTTCAGGGCCCTGGTGGCAACCGATTTGATTGGCCCGGATCTCAGGGCACACTTGCGCACGGCGGAAGTAGCAAATTTGAAGAATTGCACACGAAGGGCCCTGGCGGCGGGAAGTTTGAAGAGCCACGTGTTCAACGCAATCGCTTTGAGGTCTCCGACGGCGAGTTTGAAGAATCGCGCACACAGGGAAAGGACGGTCAGTTTGAGGGATCACTGGCACAGAGCCGCCAAGCCTCGGATGTTGAGAACAAATTTGAAGGTGCTCGCCCCACCCATGGCACCGGCAGTCAGAGTGAAGGTGCGTGCATGCCAGGACCTAATCAGCACAGCGCCAACAGTCCGTTTGGAGGATCCCATTTCTCAGGGCCACGCTTTCAGGGCCCCAACGCTTCATTTGAAGGTCCGCGTCCACCAGGCTCCAATTTTCGAGGACAGGGTCCTGACGGTCAGTTTAACGAGCAGCGTGGTCCGGGTTCTCAAAATTGGGGCCCCGGCAACGAGTTCAAGGGACCGCATTTCCAAGGCTCGAACAAGTGGGGTCCTGGCAGTCGGGGTGAAGGTCTCCTTGGCGAGGGCCCGCATTCTAATGTCCCAAGCAATCAGTTTGGGGGACCACGTTTTCCAGGGCCTCGATTCCAGGGCCCTACCAGTCGATTTGAAGGGCCTCGTGCCCCTGGCTCTCGATTTCAGGGCCCCAACAACAGCAGATTCGATTGGCCTGGCTCTTGGGGCCAGGTTAACGAATTTGAGCAGTCTCAAAGTCAGGGTCCTGACAACAAATTTGAAGGATCCCATGCACATATCTCACCGTACCAGAGTTCCAGTAATAAGTCTGAATGGCCACAAGCCCATGGTCCTTTCACTCAGGATGATAAGGGTGAAATAAAGGAACCAAATGCCCCAGGGCCTCACACTCAGGGAGCCAACATTCAGAATGAAAGTCCTCACTCCCAGAGTACTCCTCGCGGTCCCTTTGGTCAGTTTGGTGGGCCTCGCTTCCAGGGTCCCCGTTTCCAGGGCCCTAGCAGTCAGTATGTAGGACCTAACAATCAAACCGAAAGACTACAGGCCCAGGGTCCCCAATCCCAAAGTCCTGGTAATCGGCTTGAAGGACCTCATGCTCAAACACCTCAGCATAAAGATCTCAACAGCCAGACAAATGTGTCCTATAGCCAGGGTTCTTACTCTCAGGGTCCTAAAAGCCAATCTGAAGGTCCTCGGCCTCAAGGTCCCACCAGTCAGTTTCAGGGCCAGCACCCCATGGGCCCTCGTCCTCAAGGCCCAGTCAGTCAGTCTGGAGGTCCTCGTCCCACAGGTCCCGGTTCTCAAGATCCCACCAATCAATCTGTAGGTCCCCGTCCTCAAGGTCCCATCGGTCAATCAGGAGGGCCTCGTCCCACAGGTCCCGGTTCTCAAGTTCCGACCAATCAATCTGCAGGTCTCCGTCCTCAAGGTTCCATCGGTCAATCAGGAGGGCCTCGTCCCACAGGTCCTGGTTCTCAAGTTCCCACCAATCAATCTGTAGGTCTCCGTCCTCAAGGTTCGATCGGTCAATCAGGAGGGCCTCGTCCCACAGGTCCCGGTTCTCAAGTTCCGACCAATCAATCTGCAGGTCTCCGTCCTCAAGGTTCCATCGGTCAATCAGGAGGGCCTCGTCCCACAGGTCCCGGTTCTCAAGTTCCCACCAATCAATCTGTCGGTTCCACGTCCTCAAGGTCCCACCGGTCAATCAGGAGGGCCTCGTCCCACAGGTCCCGGTTCTCAAGTTCCCACCAATCAATCTGTCGGTCCACGTCCTCAAGGTCCCACCGGTCAATCAGGAGGTCCTCGTCCTACATGTCCTGGTTCTCAAGGTCCCACCAGTCAATCAGGAGGTCCTCGTCCTACAGGTCTTGGTTCTCGAGGTCCCACCAGTCAATCTGTAGGTCCACGTCCTCAAGGTCCCACCGGTCAATCAGGAGGTCCTCGTCCTCCAGGTCCTGGTTCTCAAAGTCCCACCAGTCAGTCTGTCGGACCCTGTCCTCAAGGGCCCACTGGTCAATCAGGAGGTCCTCGTCCCACAGGTCCCGGTTCTCAAGGTCCCACTGGTCCGCTTGTGGGTGCCCATGAACAGGGTTCTCGCTTTCCAAATCCAAACACTCAAGGACCTCGCAATAATTTTCAGGGACCTAATGCCCAAAACCCAAGAACTGAGGGCCCTCAAGGTCCCAACGCACAGGGTCACAGTGTCCATATAAATGGGCAGCGTTTCCGACCACCTGGCCCAAACTCTCAAACCCCCTTTTCGCGCACCGGAAATTTTGTTCCTCAAATGGGTGGCCCTAACCCCAGAGGTTTTGGCCCGAGAGGGGAGGGTCAGGCAGTGCCAGTCAGGGGTCTAAATCAAGGGCCCATGGAGACTGCTCCCAGGTTCCCTGGCCCTCACGGCTCATTTCCTGGATCTGCAGAAATCCGGCATCCAGTACCTGGACAAGTCAGAGCTCCTACGCCCCAGCAATGTGCAGCCGGTAATCAGGCGCCGGATAGTGACAGCACAAGCGAGCCTCCCGATAAGAAGGCCAAAACAGGAGATACCACGGCACCATCAAATGTTTCGCCAAACCAGTTGAACGCACCCGGTGACCAACAAAAGGGCAAGACTGACCAGGAGACAAACCTGCAAGCCTCGAAGATCGAGCAGCAGCACCTGCCCGGTGTCATAAAGCCGCAACAAGGTGGGCAACTGGCGGCGGGAATATTCGCACCGTCATCCACGGCATCATTGCAGACTTCACAGCCCAATCAGGGTAGCGTCGGCTCAGCTAGCAGCGTGTATGAGGGCGCCGGCTTGTCGTCTAATCCTGCAGACAGCACCACAGTCTCCATGCAGATGGACGAGCCCATGCTTCTAGACGAGGACATGGAGGACAATGGTCAGATAGATTCTCAGCCGCCCGGCTGGCAGGACCAGAGACGCAATGATGACACCGATGCAAGACCCTTCGGCGGCATGGGTGGTAGTGGCGAGAGGTGGGGCGATGCCCCGCCGCACAGGTCAGACGAGCGGTGGACCCCCGAGGAGCGTTCGCACGAAACAGGGCAACCATGGAACAGACCTCCGTTTGCGCAAAACAGGGAAGCTTCCAACATGAGACCTCTGAACAAACCTTTCGAAGGCAAAAATCCCGAGTGGGGCAACAGGGGTCAGAATCAGTTTCCTCCCTCGGGGAGGCCATTCCCACCTCGGTTCCCCAGGGAGGTCATGGACCGACAGTTCCAGCCGATGCAGCCAAGAGATAGGGACCAGGGGTACGAAGAGGAGTTCGGCTTCCAGAGGGACTTCGATGCCCGCTTCGAGCGTGACTTTAATCAAGAGCCACCGCAGGGCTACAGGGAATTTGGGGCCGAGGGGGAAGAGGAGGAGGAAGAATACTACGACGTGGACGGCCGGCCCCTGGGTCGGAGCAGCCCTGGCAGGGAGGAGCACTGGAGAGAAGGCCCCAGAGAGGGCGAGTTCGGTTACAAAGAGCGAGGCCCTTGGAACGAAGAGCAGAACGAGGATGGGTGGGACCACTGGCATCCTGACAGTCGCCCTGGTCACCCTGGCATGCCCAGGCACAGAGGGATGGGAAGGCCCCCCATGGGCATGCGGGGACGAGGCTTCATGGGACCCCCGCCACGGGGCAGGTTCATGATGCAGGGGCCTCGACGAGGAGGCCCGGACAGGCCTCCGTTCCCGCCGTGGGGTGAGCACGAGCGGGGCGGACACTCGCTGGGCCCCAGACGTGGCGGCCCGCCCGAGGGTCATCCGCGGGGATTCGGCAGGGGAGGGCCCGATGGCCCTCCGGCTTCGAGCAGGTGGGACCCCTCGGGCCCGGGCAGGTCACACTTTGGTGCACCTTTGCCTGGAAACAGACGGGAGCTACCGCCGCCGATGCGTCGATGGGATGGCGGACCCGAGGAAGACGACGACAATGACGGTGGAGGACGGCCACACTGGGATCGCGACGCTGAGCGGTGGGACGAGCAAGGCGTCGTGCCGCGATGGCGGAGGGAAATGTCACCTCCGTCGTCGCCACCGCCAGCGCCAGCGGACGGGGATGAGGAGGGAGACCTCGAGTTCCCTGATCGCGTGATGTCACTCTCGAGCAGGGAGCACGAGATCATCTTAAAGGCCGCACAGGAGCTCAAGATGCTCAGGTGAGCGCAGGTGATCCGTTCGGTTGTGTTTTACTGCGCAAGAAGATTATATCTTAATGGCTCGCATGTAATTTTGGACTGAATCATTACCTGATGAATCTATCAATGCAATCATTATCTAAACGATTGAATTATTAATACATTTCTGGCTAATTTCTTCTTTAGAACTGCCTTTTGTGTTTAAATTGTTGTCCTTCCCCCGCACCTCCGATGAGCACGGTTGGCTACGTACCGTGCGAAAGAAGTTCAACAAACCTACGTAATTTATTTGATATAAAGTACCTTGTTAATTTATTTTCTTAATTTGTCGATGTACCAGATGGCTTTGACGGATTTTCAAATTCAGTGATTGACGGTATTTTGGTGCAATAATCCAACCGTCGCATATCTGCCCTGACCAATTCACCACTGTCGCTCAGTGCAGTTAAATGCGCGTGCTGCAACTGTCGTCTTCCATGAATGTTTTCAAAATGTGACCTTTTCTCAGTCGGCCGTCCAGATGTCTCTGCTCCATACCCAAATGGGTACTTCCCGTTATTGACACGTCGCTTGTCCACCATCAAAATAAAATATAATTATTTTCGAGCGAGTTCAAACAAAATCGCTTGAATCGGATGGCAACGTTGATTGGTGACGGTGTATCTAATCGCCGGGGGTGATTGAATCGTTATGTACCCCATGCCCATCGTTTATGATACAATTGGGTATATGTTTTAAATTCTTATTCGGTGATTAAAAGCTGTAATTGCTTTTGAGCATGATGCATCAGCACATTTACCTCTTTTGGTTAATTGATGTTTGCGTGTGTCTGTGTTTATTTCTATTAAAATATTTCAATACATCTCTCAGGGAGCAGCAAGAGCAGCTGCATTTGCTGAACGAGATGCAGAATGACGTTCGAGGAGTCGCGGCATCCCCGTCCCCTTCCAGCAGTGCTGCACCGTCATACTACAGGGTACGCTGTCTTTATACTACAATACTACCGGATACGCTGTGTTTATACCGCCATACTTAAAGGTACGCTGTGTTTATACTGCCATACTAACGGGTACGCTGCCATCTCGTGTGTGTGTGGGCGGCAAAATGGCCGAGCGAGGCATTGTGAGTTTGTCGCTTGTTGCACATCCTCGTGGTTTGAGCCCAGCGGCCTCCCCTGGTTAATACGGGGGCAGTAGGGTCGCGCAGTGCTAACACTTGTGCCCCACAGCAAGAAGGGCCTGTGTTTAATTCCCGACTCGGAGTCTGTATGTTCTCCCCATGTTCTGCATGTAACTGGTATTGGCCGAACAAACATCCCTGACAAATGACAGCGAAGAATTCTCAATTTGGATTGTACGTAGCAACGTCACCCCTGCTGCGGCAAACTTAGCAGGACCCTCCTGACAATGAGTCTCGAGACTCAGAAACGCTGAACCCAGAAAAGATCCTCTGAGAAATGAATTCCTGATCATGACACACACACACACACACCCTTGGTGGGGGCGGGGTTGTCTTTCCAGACGTCACTCGACGCCCTGGACTCGCCAGCGGAGAAGCCCAAGGTCGACTCCGGTGGTAGCGGTTGGTCCCACGGGGAGGCTCCCTGGGTCAGGGAATCGTTGGCGCCCAGCACGGGAGTGCAGCGCCACGACAACCCGGGGTCTTGCCCACCGCCGCTGCCGCCACCATCATCATCATCGCTGCTCGAAAGGAAGCCGCTGAACCTGGAGCCGATGAGTGTCAAGAAAGTCACGCATGACTACTCGCACAGCTCAGGTGAGACGTGCCAGCATCGTCGGAGACGAAGCCGTTCCGCACGCTTGCCGTGTGGCCGGAGGGTCGAAGCACTGAGCCGCCACAGCCGAGATGCTGGGTTTGAATCTGCATTTCAGCCACCTGTGATTTAAACCGTGTTCACGAGCGTGGTGACACGTATCGAGGACCCTATAGGCGGTTTTTGTTTGACCGTACTTCACCACGCCAGACATTGCGTGTGTGTGTTTTTAATGGGGGCGACCCCAGGACCGTTTCAGATATTACTCGTCGCTTATATTGGCCTGAACCAGGAAATCAAAGTCGGGTCGCTGACTTCAATCCACTGGCAGATTCGGAGCTCCCCAACTTGTTACCATCTCTCGTGATCTTGTGATGCAACAATTAAGCACCTGTACATGAGCTAATATTGCCGTAATATGCAGTCATACGTTTTTGTTTGAAAAGCGCTGCATGCGGCTCGTAACCTACTAAGTGTGTATGTGTGTGTGCGCGGGCATAGCAGAAGTGCTTCCTCGCATAGAGCAGACGTCATATGGTGAGCGAGTCTCCCTGGGTCGTGGGAAGTCCTACATCAGAGGTACGTGTACAAAGACAAAGACATCACAAGCAGGGAACTCTCTCATCAGCATGCATTTCCTCTGTGGTCTTCGGTTTTCTTCCGTAGCTAAAAAAAAACGAACGTTGTCATTCACGTTGATGAAAAATGCCTCCTACAGGACCAACCTGAAAAAGGGTCCTTTAGTTTCAGTGCACACATCTTTTATAGGCCCCTTGAATAGACTGGCTGGCCAACTAGTTATACTATATGCCATCATCTTTCCTTTAGCCGTGGGGATCATGAGGTGGGGGGGAGGGGGGGCTTCCATTGATGCGTTGGCAATCGACTCTTTGCCTCGTATGGTCTTTTGCGGTCTGCGCGTCTCCCGCTGATCTCCCTGTCCCAAGTCGCTTCGTACATCATTCAGTAGCCGCTTCTGGGGTCAGTCAATTTCTCTCCCGAGTCCCCTTCTGCTGTACCCTGCAGTATGGTGTCGGAGAGTCCCTCTTGTATTTTGAGTGATGTCATCGCAGCTTCCTCCTCCCTGTGCTTTTTGCCAGTCATGGTTCGTGTCCCTAAAACGTTTTAGCCATTGGAAGCATCACATCCCTCAAAAGCCTGGATTTCCTCCTTGGATTCACTTGTGTTTTTACAAAAAAATGTATGTTACCAGGTCAGGCCCACGGAGCTATATTGCTCTTTTTCTGAAGCGACCTGGCCACAAATGATAGCTCAACGAAGTGGCTTATCAAGTGCAAATTTATAGCAGCCAGATGATCTAAATATGGAGGGAAAAACTCGAGGACCTGGAGAAAAATCCACGTGACCACGGGGAGAACATGCAAACTTGTCCACGATCCACAGCCATATAACTGCACATTTTACCATTGCTCTGAGTACATCAATTTTGGACATTGGCTGCCCACATCAGTGTTTGTTTTTGCTACCGTATGCCACGCGTTGTTCATCTGCCATGGTTCTTTGTTGCCCGTGCGACCCCCGCTGCGCAGAGAGCTTGCCGCCCGGCGACGCGTCATTCCGGGAGCGATGCCTGGGCTGGGAGGGCGGCGATGGCGAAGGGATGTGGGAGAGGGAATCCATGATGGCCATTGAGAGGGGGCCCAGACCCCCGCCCCTGCTTTCACGTGACCCCAAGGACGGCGCGTCCAAAGAGTTCATCCGGGAGCCTCTGGATAGAGAACGGTGCGAGTTTCGCACGGAAAAATTAACCCTTAAAAGTTTTTCACTATAAATCCTTTATATGTAAGATCACCTCTTGACATGCCCCGTATATTCCCGAGGGCACTAGCGTTGACCCGTTTTCCACTTTCAAGAACCTGGCGGCTTCAATTTAACTGCTCTATAAATAGTCTTCATTGTACAGCGTGGGGGCAGGGATTTCATGCCATGTGGTTAGTCAACATTTGCGTCATCATGAAACGGGCGGCTAGAGTCCTCTCGTCCTCTGGCTTGAGATGGCTGCCACCTATGGGTCAGATGATTGTCTGCCACCATTAAGCAATTGGTAATGAAATATTTAAAATTTTTCCCTAAACAGTGTAACATTTTGGAAAAAAATGTTCACAAATTCATTGTCACGCACAACGAGTCTGTGTGCAAAATGTCAGCTCGATTGGATCACAGGAAGTGGGTTAAAAAACGACCGAAAGATTTGCACGGTCGTAAGCAAGCACGCAAGCAAGCAAGTGAACTTAATATAAAGGATTTAAAAATGGACGATTTTGTCATTTACACGGGATGCCGCCATGATGCAACGGTTGGCATGCTGCATGCACTCGTAGGTCAGAGGTTGCCGCTTCGATCTCCTGGCGAGGCAAATTAAAAAATGTCTGAAGTTTGTTAAAGCCCTCCTGTCGAGTCGGTTGCATTTTCGGTTAAAGTGCGGCGCCTTTCTGGCACAAATATGGCACCCAAAGTGCCCAGCAGCATCAATGGATTCCACCACAGTTGATCGCTGGCAGGCGCGTGTCGGGGTAAGGTGGGTACTTCTACCTCTTCCAAGATGCCTGGCCAGCATGGAGGAGTAGGCCGTGTACCCTCTAGCAGGGCTCTCCCCGAGCTCGCAGTCTTGGAGGCCATACTGCCAGCAGCGGTGTGAGCAAGCAAATGCAGAGTTGCACCTTTACCATAACCTACCACTTATGCAGATTTTTTTGCATGACATACTGTTAGATTTAGGCCATAGGAGCGAACAAACTTGGAGAATCGGGATACTATTTTTAACTATTTAAACTCTTTTATTTTACCAGCTAAGGCCCACTGAGCTATATAGCTATTTTTCAGAAGCGATCTGGCCACAAATTATAATACAACCAAGTGGCTTATCACATGGACATTTAAAGCAGCCAAATACTCTAAACGCACATTGTTTCTAAATGTGGAGGGAAAAATTGGATCATCCAGAGAAAAATCCACGCGACCACAGGGAGAACATTTACAGGCTTCAGGGTTGGGATTGAACCCACGATATCCTGCATACCAGGCAAGGTAGTTAACATCTCGCCACCGTGGCGCAGTAAAAACAAACAGAAACAATACAAACGAGATGGTGAACACGACACAAAAGTTAATTGAATGGCGCAGCCGAATCGTGACGATTCGTCAAAAAACAACGCTTGCGGTATGCGCCCCAATCGGGAACGCTTCTTCCTTCGGACGGGTGGCCTCGGATATCCGAAAACAACACCAACACACCTGGCTTGCTGTTTCGTTTTGCGGGGCTGCGCAGGTTGCCTCTGGGGCAGCCAGGCAGCTACATGAGCTACGCGGAACGGAGAGCTGGACCCGAGCGACCCACGTACGAACGCAAGCCGTTCGAGTCCATGGCACCGCCGTACCCAGGTGACAAGCAAGATTCCTGATTTTCGGAGGGGGCGGAGGGGGGCGGAGGGAGGTGGCCCCACTTCGCCGATAAGGCATCATCAGTATGAGGGCCGCCACACAGTTGAAGCCATTTGGGGGTTTGACAGCAGCACGATGATGATGATGGTGGGGCGCACATCATGGGCCTCACTGAAGGCCACCAGGGGCCACCAGTGGCCCGCGGGTCTTGCAGTGAAGAACGCTGGTGTAAATGATGTGCCGCACGTCTCCTTCGTTGTGTTGCTGAGGCTACTGAAACCTCGGAGCAGCGCAAAAAGTCCAACGATTTCCTGCTTAAATGATCATTAAAGTGGTATGTTTTATCTCCTGCTCTTACAGCCCTGAGCCAGTGGTGGAAATTCCACAATACTCTGGTGGGGGCGAGGCTATCCATTGGACAACCGCTGTTGACTTCTCCATGAAAGTGATGCTCATTGTATCGACCCCAGAGAGATGATAGCTCAAGTCAACCCTCAAGTGGGATCTGAACTCGCGACGTCCTGATCGAGAGCCGCTGGCTCAAACGCTGAGCCACTTGAGCCATGGGCACAACCAATGCATGTGTGACCAGATTCGAATAACTTTATTGGCACTGGGCACCAGCCAGTCAACAACTCTATTGCCACCACGAAGCCACTTCCACCATTATTGTATTCTCCAGAATATAACATGCACTTTTTACCCAGCATCCACTCTTGTTCCGTAACTTTACACACCCTTGTTTGCTGCTTTTGCGGGATGTCGGATTTATTGAAGCAAAAAAAAGATTAAAAAATGAGCCGAGTTTGTGTGAGTCTCACTTTCCGGAGGATCTTATAATCTAGTTAATATGGTAATAGAACACTTCGCATGGTTGTTCACATGTCCATTTGTTCTTAACAAATGCCTTTGTGCAGTGTTCATCAAAACCTACGATTCTGGCAGAACGCGTAATATAATTAGCTTGTGCTGATGGGCCACATACCGTCATAGTGTCACTCGCATAGTCATCGTGATGTCACTTGCTTGCCCATTTAGGCTCCCTTAGTTTATTTAATTCAGTGAAGGCCAGTTCCACTGAGGATAAATACCATTTTGTCAACTCTCGTCACTGCGCCATAATCGATTCGCTGTTGATCGCGACCGAGCTCTCCACATGTAAATAAGTACAACAATGCAGTCCACTGAACTCTTGGATTTACAGGACTATATTATCCAGTGGCACTTGTTCAAGCATTGAAACTGTGAAACGGTTTTGACCTGGTTAATATTGGTCTGGAAACCCAAAAGGACTGGACTATAGCATATGATTTATTTTCCTGAGGAAACAGAAAAAAAAAGGGAATTCTACTTATGTATCTTACACACTGCTGCACAGCAACACGTATTGAGTTTGTATACTCTGCTTTAGTTACAATGCAAATTAATTGAGAGATGTACTTAGATGCCAAACGCTTAGAGCCTCTATAAAGGAACTGTATTTGTCGGTCGTTCAAAATGTGCGACCAAGGTAGCCGGGCATGGTGCCAGCCACCCACCCTACGTCGTGTGCCGTACCGGCCTTCATAGGTGATCGTTAACAGCACTTGCTCCTCCAGTTTGTTGAGGCTACACGCGGGATCTTTGGAGAGGGAGAGAGGGACGTACGTTTGTATGTTGAACTTCTTTCGCACCCATACGTAGCCCCAACTGCCAAATCGGAGGTGCGGCGAAAGAGCCTCGACTCAAAGCTCCACTTGTGTCCCGTGTTCAGGGGAGCACTACCAGGACCGGCCGCCCATGCCGTTCTCGCGCGATCGGCCCCCGTATCCGCCCAGCCGGATGGGACCCCCGGACAGGAGGATGGGAGTGCTGCCCCCACCGCCGCCACCTTCGTCGCTACCGCCGCCGATGGCCCCTCCGCCGCCGATGCCGCACGTGGAGGAGAAGAAGCCAGAGTCGAAGCACGTGGATGACCTGCTGAAGAAGCCAGGACGCGTCACCCGCCCGGAGCGCGTGAGTGTGACGCCTCCTGTCCCCCCGGCACGCCGGGTCTCGCTGCGAGCCCACGTCTCTTTTCCGTTGCAATATATTATTCGCCCATTAATTTATTCCGTTTTTTTTCATTTGTCAAATTTACTTTACCAGTTAAGGCCCACCGAGCCTTATCGCAACTGCAATCGCAGTTTGCAGGATGCGTGTCTAAACTACTAAGCTAAACTATTCTTATTTCACCAGGTAAGGCCCACTGAGTTGTATATCTCTTTTATCCAGGTTACGACGTGGCTCATCACGTGGACATTTCTCGCAAACAACTATTCTTAAGCGTATGTTGATTCTAACCTGTAAGGTAAACCAGGTAGGGAGACCATTGAGTGCAAAAGTCCCGACAGAGACCTGAGTCGCAAAGCAGTGGAGTCGGTGGTTTCCACGCCGCTGCCCACTTATCGTCCTTTGCCGCGTTGGGCGGTCTTTCCTCATTTGCGTATTCATTCATTCATTCATAAGATGTTCTTCAAAATGTGGTGAGTGCCCATTCCGATAAGGTTCATTGGACCCAGGAAAGCCTCGCTGAATCTCAAAACTTCTCTTTTTTTCATGAGTATCCCGCTAAGTTTCACAGGAGGGAGCAACCATTGCAATTAGTTTTCTTTTCCAATTCGGTCATTCACGGGTAATATCTAAAATGTGCAAATTTTTGGTTCATGACCAAAACGTCCATTATTGAAGCGAGGCTTTATTGACAAAGCAGTTGCGGTCAGTCGACGTGTAAACTAACTGTCAAGACATTATTGAAAATTGCGCAACAAAATAAAATGTTCGGCAGGTAACAAGAGTTAGCCAGCATCGACTCAAACTAAACCATTAGTTTATTATTTCACTAGGTAAGGAAACAACCTGCCCACAAATGATAGCTCAACGAAGTGGCTTATCACGTGGAAATTTATAGTAGCCAAATTCTCTTAAACGAACGTTTCTAAATGGGGAGGGAAAAACCGGAGGACCCGGAGAAAAATCCATGCAACCGCAGGGAGAACATTCCAGATATACAGGCTTCGGGGTCAGAATTGAACCCACGACCTCCTGTATACTCTTCTTGGTTCTTTCGGTAAAGTCACGTAGAAGGGAAGTAATAAAATAATAAAAATAAAATTATTCTCACGACGTTTCGGCCACAACGCAAGCAGCCGTCCTCAGGTGAAAAACCAGGTCCGTCGAGGCCAAGAAGATGAATCCCTGCAGTCACGAAAGCTTTAAATCAAAATTTCCTGTATACTCGGCGAGGTAGTTAACATCTCGCCACCATGAGACTCGAGCAATCCTGACTCTGTGTGTTGAAGCCGGTCCAGAGATTGCTTGTCTTGAACCAACACTGCTAAAAATATACACTCCCAGAAGGCAGTGCGGCTAATAAGTTGTGTAAGAAATGGTTTTGTTTTGTATGTGGACAGACAGGTACAGTACCCCGATTTTCGAAAATACGTCCTCACTTTATTAACACCGCTGCACGATTTGCTTCACCTCAACCCACATACTCGCGCCGCTGACGGCATCCTCCGTCGTTTCTCGCATCCATCAATTGCTTTGATTGGCGTCGTTTCCATATTCACCGTCACGTCTTTCAGGAACGCATCCCCGACATAAACCGGGGTATTTATATGAAGGAGACATTGCCAGAATATTTATTTTATCAACTAATAGTGTATTGAATTCTAAAATATGGCTTAAATTCCAGTAAGATACGATGTTTAGCTGCATAGGGTATAGTTCAAAAGCACTCTCTGGCCTAAATCAGTATGCACTGCTACACTAAGAGCTGAACCCATTCATTGAAAGTAATGGAATGTTGGTGACGTCAGTCTAAATACTGGCTTTACGCTCTTGCTTCCGATATTAGGAAGCCACTGGAGCTATGTACTTTTAAATCTATATTTAAAACTCATTTCTTTAGAACTTCTTTTTGCATTTAGTTTGTTGTCCTTCCCCCAGCACCTCCGATTAGCACGGTTGGCTACGTACGGTGCAAAAGAAGTTCTGCAACCATTATCTTCGGTTGTGTCGGAGGGCAGCACTGTTTAGTATTTTTTTTAAGTGATTTTACTTTGGCAGTGCTGCACAGGCACAAATAACAAAAGCTCGATACATTAGTCAATAACACTGCCCTAAAAGGAAAATAATATATATAGGCGACGTTTCGGACAATGGCGGTCTTCACTGTAGAAGATAATTCATGAGATTGAAATTATCTTTGCATTGTACCGAGTGGTTCCTTGGACACCATAAGACTTCAACACAGAGTCCCACTTTTTCCAATTTTCTAATGCTCGGGCGACATCTCCCATGGATTTATCCCTTTCCCAATTCCATTCCAATTATGCTATCGGCATCATGTCACAAGATAAAGAAGTGTCCGTTCGGAACTCCCATCGGGCGGTGTGGCACTCCATAATGGAGATAGTGGATCATCCGCCATCGAGGATATTTCACGCAACCACTTCAAGGGAGTCCTTCAAGCGACCTCTTTTATCTGAAGTCAAGGAAGCCGCACTTTCGGACTCGCCCTAAACCTGACAGATGTTCATCACATGACGGCCAATCCAATGCTTTCATTTCTCAATTAAGCTTGAATTTAGTCAAATTACAATGTAGCTCAATGTGATGGGATCTTCGCTGACCAGCCCACTCGGCTTTGTCGAGTTTTCATTATTTTTGGTACTGGATGTTCTGTGCGGTCATGTGACTCGATGCGAAATTCACAGTAAGTGGCATAGTGGATGTATCCTTTACGTGCGCATTCATGTGCTCATTTTCACGAAGGGACTGTGGTCCTGTTGGCCCAGAAGATAATCATATTCACGGGTAAAGAGGTCCACTCTGCTATCCAACATAGGAAAATGGATCAAATACCCAGGACAACACGCTCTGCCTAAAATACATATTGTACAAGTTATTAATTGCCATCTCAGCACCTTGCGAGCATCAATTTTTGCGCGAATACAGAAATAAGTCACTCACAATTTATCACCCAAAGCCCGCCAAAGCAACACCACGCAACAATTCTGTGCAATTTGGCTGCAAGTGGCATCACTGTTATTCATACACCACACACAGCCGGGCGTACCGTTAGCCATCAAAGTGAAACGTAGCCCTCGTTCCGCAACGGCAGTCCGGAAGCTGCGGTGGCAACCGTCGGTTGTTCTGTTTGCCGCCGAGTCTCAAGCGCGCCTCTCGTTTCAGATCGTGGTGATCATGCGAGGCCTTCCCGGCAGCGGCAAGACCCACGTCGCCAAGCTCATACGGGTGAGTGTGATCCCCGGCGCGTGAACAGAGAGAAAACCCGTTGCAGTCATACTTAACCTCGTCGCCGTAGGGCGTCCGACGTTTCGCGCCGAGCGCCTGGAGCTTCTTGGGCACTTGGGACAGCACGCGACCCAAAACGCGTCGGAGGGCCTGGTTGCGTTTGGTCGCGTCAGGTTAAATTATGCTGCTTGTCTTGACCGCTCGTAGAGCTAAAATTGTGGCTCAAATATACTGGAAGTTGTACGTGTGTACGTAGCCAACCGTGCGAATCGGAGGGGCTCGCTAATGAGTCGTATAATGTTGAGGCTATACAGGGGGATTTTTGTCGGTGCGTGCATTCATGCCTCCACAAAGCAAATTAGAATGTGTTGTTTAAGAACCTATAGTTTATAAACATTTACAGGCGACATTGAAGGCTCATAATGCACACACTCAGTGCAATGTTTGGTGCGATGTGTCGTGCTACAAAATAACACGATGTTAATGCTGTGATGTGAAAATAATAAAAAATGACAAGACGGTACAATTAGATATTTATAGCGCCAGCCATGCTCCCATTGACAGCACCTGCCGTGAACAGCACCTGCCCCGACAGATATCCTCGGCTAATTGGAGGATGCCTTTGCGGTGATGGTCCTCGCAGGATAAGGAGGTGGAGGAGGGAGGCGCGGCGCCACGCGTGCTCAGCCTGGATGATTACTTCGTCACCGAGGTGGAGCGCACGCAGACTGACCCGGAGACCAAGCGCAAAGTCAAGAAGAAGGTCGGCCAGTTTTTTTCCTGCACCAACAACAACAGTAGCAACAAGCACCGTTTCTCCACCAAGTGGCGGTGACGGCACCACAGCGCTTGTGTTTTTACACTTTGAGGCCACGTGAAGTGTCGAAGGTTCTCTGGCAGGAGGTCACGGGAGAGACCCAGGTGCAATTGGTTGACCGATTGAGACTCGTGCTCACCTTTTTGAGTTCTCTCCTGGTGAAACAAAATATACTTGAATCAACAAGAATGGCATTGATGCATATGGAAAGTGGCCGGATGACTTTGTGGTAAGTTCAAGCCAATTGAATCATAATAATCATAATAATACGGATTTAGTACCTCTGCTTTCGGTCCACATGCTGGCAGCTTCTTCAGCAGCTGAATTAAAGGAGAAGCTCCCAGCACGTGCAGCGGAATGTCGGACTTCGCGCCTAACACCACACAGCGGTACAACCCGAAAAAGGCATCGGAGGGCCGTGCAGCAAAGATTCCCTGTGTAGGCTTAACATACTGGCGGGGCAAGTGCTTTTAGCGAGGCGCACCTATGAACGCCCGCACGACACACGAGGGGGGTGGGTGGTGGGCTGGCCAGAACCATGCCCGGCCGCACTTTGTCTCCCGAGTGGCAATGTTTGCATGTCGCACGAGGTGCTCGTTTGAGGCTGAGGCGACTTAGGGGCCACGTGGCACAGTACCCACAGCGGTGGAATTGCACTCCGAGCTCGGGTGCGTTTGCAGGTTGCATGTCTAAACTACTAAACTAAAGCAAATTTTTATTTTAACAGGTAAGGTCCACTGAGCTAAATAACTCTTTGTCAGAAGCGAACTGGCCACAAATGACAGCTCAATGAAGTGGCTTATTGTGTGGAAATGTATTGCAGCCAAATACCCTAAACGCGTGATGTTGATTCTAATTGTGGAGGGAAAAAACTGAGGACCCGGAGAAAAATCCACTCGACCACGGGGAGAGAGAGAGAGAGAACACGCAAACTCCAATATACAACAGGCGTCGAGGTCGGGGTCGGGAACGAACCCACGACCTCCTATATACCAGGTGTAGTATTTAACATCTCGCCACCGTGTCACCGCCACAGGTCATGGAGTACGAGTACGAGCCGGAGATGGAGGAGACGTACCGCAGCAGCATGCTCAAGACGTTCCGCAAGACCCTCGACGATGGCTTCTTCCCCTTCATCATCATTGACGCAATCAACAACCGCGTCAAGCACTTCGAGTCCTTCTGGAGCTCCGCCAAGACCAAGGGCTTCGAGGTGCGGTGACGTGAAGCCGTGCCGGATTCTGTGGTCTCGAGGGTTTACGAAAATGTTATGAATGGGATGGGCAAATGCGGGAGCGTTATTGTTAATTGCTCCCATCATATTTGTTGTTTTAAAGAACTCGGCAGTTCACGCTATTAGTTGAGCTTTTAATGATTGGATTAACGATGCAAGTGGTAAACATTTTAATTTCCTTTTCGGTCATATGAAAGTGTTTTAATCTTGGGATAAAGTGCGTATTGAAATCAAACGCAAGGCTATTTTGTCTATTCGAATAAGTTGAGCTATTTCTCATTGTTAATGGAAACCCAGTGTGTATGCGTGCGCGCGGTATCTTTCTTTTGATGCGCCGCGCCTGAAACTTCACAGCTGTCCACAGTAAGACGCTGCCCCAAAGTTTGCCTAAGGCAGCCGCTGCCAAGGTCCAGGACGCGGCGGCATGCTCACATGGATGTTTGCGTGCGATGCCCTCCGCTCGTTCACCAGGTGTACTTCGCCGAGATAACCGGGGAGACGCACACGTGCGCCAAGCGGAACACACACGGCCGCAAACACGACGAGATCAACAAGGTGAGTGGCTCCCACCCCCCCATTCGGTTTGTCACGAATAGCATTCGTGTAGGGCACTGTGGCGGGGGGGAGGAGCCTCTTAATGCCTTCGTTTACTCTGGGATTTGGGCAGCGCACCAGTCGGTAGAAGGCATAGATGACGCGGGAACAGCTCCTTCACCACCACCGTGGAGAAGGAGCGGCGATTTTGGGCCGGTGGACGGTTACGTAGCAGGATCCGGGAGAGACGGGGAAGGCTTGGGGAGGACTTCATCCAGTGTTGGATGACGGGGCTGACGCTGGAATTGGTATGCATCGTTTTCAATTTGTGGTGAATTGGAGTTGGCCCCAAATGTGGACAAAGTGATCGTGCGTGACGGTTGCCCATCCAAGTACTATCCAGGCTACACTTTGCTTAGCTTCCCGAAATCTGACAATGTTGGGTGCGTTACGGGTTGACGTGGCCCAGCGGTGGCGCTTTCGCCGCTTGTTGCGGTTTCGCGGTTCGAATCTAGCGGCCGCCCTGGTTAATCCTGCAGGGTGTATTGACCACAGTAATACCACGCGCTGCCTTGCTTTACGGTGGACCTTAAAGATCCGTGACGTCATTCGCAAGAGAGTAGGCCACCCTCGTGCCGGCGTCGTGCTCCAAATTTGTAGGCCTCGTTCCTACCCACAAATCACTCAATTTGGATTGTATGTGTATCGAGTTTCTCACTGTACGTAGCCAACTGTACTAATTAAAGGTTATGTATTATACATACTAATCACCAGCCTTATAGTGCGAAAACAGGGACCCCCCTGAAACAAGTGTCATCAGACTCGGCAAGGCTCTCCTGGGCGGGGGGGCGGGGGTTAAACAAGCGCAATGAAACGAACCAAAAAAATGTTAAATTCATCATCTCCATGACTCGCGTCACGCATCGTCACACGCTTGGTGTGCGGTCCCGCGTGTCGTCGTCGCCGCCGCCGCCGCCGGCTCGTTCAGATGGCCGATCAGTGGGAGGTGACACCCAAGCACATGATTCGTCTGGACATCCGCTCGCTGCTTCAGGACGCCGCCATCGCGGAGGTAAGGTGGCTTGCGGCCCACGAACGCCAACGTCCTCAACACACCAGGGTGTCCCCCCCCTCCTCCCCCCACCTCCTCCCCTCCCTCCCTCCCCAGCTGCTCGTCGTCCGTTCCCCCAACGTGGGCTCTTTTTAACCCTCATCGTATCAAGTCGAGAGCGTTTATGCATGAGCATTCGTAACCCTAACGAAGGGGGAGGCAAGATATCGCTCGTAAGGGCGATTCGTGATGGTTTGCATAAACCATCACGTGAACTTCGGTCATCCTCGCAAGTGGCGGCTTTTGGCTAGCCATCGAACAAAGACGGTCGCCGCATCGCGCGCTTTCAGATGCGCCTCTGCGGCCGTCTGGAACGCTCTTCTGTCCGATATTACGATGTTGGTCGTGGTCGACAATCAAACACGGTGTTTCTGGGTTCATAGCGCAGCAGCGCCAGCCACGGTTGAGATTGGCCCTTGGCACGGTAGCACCTTCGCCGCTTGTTGCAGACGTTCGCGCGTGGTTCGGATTCCAGCGGGCCGACCCTGGTTAACCCTACGGGTGCATTAATCGTAAACTCGCGCTGTCTGCTTCACAGTGGACGTTAAAGATCCCATGATGTTATTTGAAAAAAGAGTGGGTCCATGTGTGCCAGTGTAAAGGCCCAAATTTGAAAATGTGCTCACAAATGACCTGATTTTTGAAAAACGATGTAGCGACATCGCCCCTGCTGTGAAGAGCCTTCAAACTATACGTGTCTATTTAAAACCGAAACAGGAGGACGATTTCTCCACAACTCTGGCTGTCGCCTAATGAGGCTGGTTGTAATTACCGGCGAAACGTTGTACTTAAAGTACTAATTGTAAATGTTGTGGGTTTACTCTCCAACCCACCGATGTGCTGAACGAGTAACGAAGTGGCATGTTTTGTTTACGTGACCAACCTTACCAATGGCCTGTGTCGGGTGCTGGCGGGTTTAACGACGCATTTATACGTCCTCGATCTAACCCCAAAAAAAATCTTTCATGGATAATATTGGTTGCGAAAGCCTACGTGTTAAACTATACCCGCCTGTGAAACGTAGCACCTTGGCGATAGCCTTGCGCTATATGAATGCGCGGATCTCAAACGTACTGACGATTTTATGATTGTTTTTATTTGGTTGGCGCGGCCACCCCACCTCTTGATGCGATCGTATCCAGGTGGAAATGGAAGACACGGATCCTTCAGAAGAAACCGAGAGCAAGAAGACTGCACCCACGACTGAGGAGGAGGAGGGGGATGGGGAGGGGGTAGGAATGCTACACTAGTTCACGTGCACTCACAAACAACGATCCCCCCCCCCGTATGGCCTTAACAGACCGTTGGGGCGAGTGCTGTTAGCGAGTAGCGCCTAACAAAGGCCGGAACGGCACACGAAGGGGGTGGGTGGCCAGCATCATGCCCGGCCACACTTTGTCTCCTGAGTGACGATGCTTACACACAGCACCATGTACTCATTTGAGGCTGAGTCGACCTAGGGGAGGCCCAGGACTGGATCAGATAATCATCACTGTTGTTGGCTGTGAGCGGGAATCGAACTCTGGTCACTGGGTTCATAGCGCAGAGCACTAACCGCTACACACACAGTCCGTCTCTCCACACGACCGCATCTTGTAAAGGTTGCACACCACAGCCATAGCTCTTTAACTCCAATGCTCGAACTGCAGACACGTGCAGTCCACGTTTGCTTCCCGGTCAGAATCTGCCGTAGGTGTGCAAGGTCACCGACCCTGAACGTTCGGCGAGGCACGGAAAGATGCCGTGTTGTGGGTCGCGACGATTGACAGTTCAGAACCCGCAGCATTGACAGACAATTGACCTGCCATGCAACGGGGGGGGGTGGGGGGGGTGACGGAAGTAGTTTTAACTACGATGTACGAAATCACCTAATGAGAAAATGTGGCTTGTTCTCTACTTATTATTGTTTGACGGATTAATTAACCGAAACGAGTTGCGCTGATGATCGTCCTGTCTAGGCCACAAACGTTCGGTTGTGTAACTCGACCAGGACACATGGGGCTGCAAGCTCGCTTAAGTACCCAGGCTGGTGGTTGGCAGTGGCGCACTCAGTGCCTGGCCGACTGCCCAGTTTGTCTTCTGTAAAGTAAACCATAACTGCTAGCGGTCGTGCATCTCTTTTAAGTTCGACGTACATGATGAAATGGTCAAGTTCAGTTATCTATCTCCTGCTCACTAGCGCATTGAGGCGGGAGGGGGGGGGGGGTCTCATCTCAGTTGGGCTCCCCCCAACCCCCCAGAGGCATTGGTGTAAATTCCGTATTCCCATGGTTATGGACCAGTCTTGTCCACAGGATGGATGGGCGCACGGTTGGCATTCTACCGAGTAGCTACTAAGTTTTACCGATTCCGCAGCGTTGATGGGCTGACTTGACACCCCTCCCTACCCAACCCCCCCCCATCACAATCTGAATTTGCAGCTGTCTCCAACTTTGCAGCTCTTCGCTGTGAGAGCCACCCGGGCGTACCGAAACTGTGTTCGCGTATATCGCGCTTTGCCTGTGCTCGTAGATATCCTGTGCGTGCGGAGTCGTCTCTTTTCTGTATGTGTAGATTACATGGCCAACTAATGATATACCAGCCTCGCGACGTGCCACTCTTTGAGTGGTGGTGGCTTACGATATTTTAGTTTTTTCATGAAAAAATGTAAACGTTCGGAACAGACCGATCAATCGGTGTATCGTCTCGGTGGTCTTTTGTCATTCGTCTGCCCTGTAAAAGTCTTTTTTCATGTAGTGTTACACAATATGCTGTACATTTACAACGAAAATATTTTCATGGCATTACTGGTTTAATGTTATGCTGTTCATATGCACTCCTGTCATGTTTTATGAATGTTAGAAATTAGCGTCACACTGTAAATTGCCACCGGTAACTCTCCACTATGCTTCGCTCCAGTTGCTTACGATATTACATCCACACAAAAAAAACCCGCCCTCTTTCCCTTGGCATTAATGGCATGGCCTTAACCAAGTCACGTGGTTAAATGATGACGGCGTGGTGCTTGACTTGGGCCGTTCCATTTCACGTGCCAAGCGGCGGAGAGGGGGAGGCGAGCGAAGTGGCTGTTTAGGTGGCAACTCGAGCGAAGCACAGTGACGACGGAGAGAATGATGTTTGTGTGCGCAGGCTTTCGTGTCGTTACTTCTTTTTTATAATCCTGTAACGAATCACGCCATTGCTGTGTGTTAACAAGGAAAGGTTTTTTCCTGTCTGCAATTCAGGGGTATATCCCAAAAAGCAAATGGGAAATGGACACCTCTGAAGCAAAACTAGGTACGTGTTATACTCGTTCTCTCTCTAACGTACCTGCCCCGCCTAAGGGGGGGGCTACCGGTCTGAATGTTGAGTGCTTAGAGACATTCAAGGAAGACTTTAAAGAATTACTGCCGTATTCCAAACGTGAGACATGGGTTACTCCTCCGATATGGGCTGCCAGGGGTTAGCCGCGCGATGCTTTCTCAGCCGATTTAAAGCTTTCGTGACTGCAGGGATTCATCTTCTTGGTTCTTTCGGTAAAGTCACGTAGAATGTAAATAATAAAATAATAAAAATAAAACATAATAAAATAATTCAGACTGTCGTCTCGACAGATCTGTTCTCCACCTGCGGACGGCTGCTTGCGTTGTGGCCGAAGCGTCGTGAGAATTATTTTATTATGTTTTATTTTTATTATTTTATTACTTTCCCTTCTACGTGACTTTACCGAAAGAACCAAGAAGATGCTTTCTCAGCCGTCAGCTGCACACTTTGATTTTCATTCTGCGACTACGGGAGACGCTTGTAGTTGTGACATTCCATTTGTGCGAACGATGGCATTCCTAACGACACAATCGCACGTTTTTACGTGACCGGACTCTTCTAACTGACCTTGGTCAGGATCTCGAAAGCTGTGAGCAATGTTGTTGAGTCTGGGTTGGTACTGGCATGGAAAACTGCCTGCGGGATATCGGACGTTAATTGGCGGGGTTACTGCTCAGTGTCCCGGGTTCAATCCACGGAGAGATTCGATGAGTTGGAAGTGTTTGCTGTGTTTCAAATGTTAACCCCCCCCCCCCCCCCTCTTGTGTGGGTTTTTTATTTCTTCTGGATACTCCAATAGTCTGCCACGTGCCAAATACTCAGTAATGGAATTCCCAATGTGCACACTCGCTTCTTCCGTGAGCCTGTTCTATAGATATATATCTACCGCATTCACCGAATTATAAAATATATTTTATTTCCCCCCTATAATTAAAATGAAAAATTTAGGGGTGCATCTTACTTTCCGGAGCGTTTTTGCAAATCTAGAGAACACGCTAATTTATCGGCAGCTTCCCCGCAACGGCAACGCGCCCTCCGTCCGGAGGTGACGACGCTCTGGTCAGTCCCATGAAAGGATCGTAACCCCCGTGTCCTCACGAGTTTGCCTGTTGAGAGGCGGAGGCACGCACTCTGCCTCCTTGTCACTGTGAACGCATCGACCGCGCTGTTCGTAACACGGCAGGCGCTTGAGGAGGGCCCCCCCCCCCGCACGCGTGCTCGATATGTGTGTGTGTCTGTATTTATGTTGAACTTCGCTCGCGACGTACGTAGCCAGCCGTGCTCATCGGAGAGCGAGCGATCGAGCGTCGCTCTGAGTACTTCTGCGTGACGCAACAGATGTTTTAAAATAAAGTATATCCGTGGCGAGACCTGGGCCGCTCCTTGCATCGATTGCACAGAAACTGATAGCGCCCAGTTGTTTATGTATCGCTGTCTATTTATTCAACTTTTATGCTATTTAATAATAATAAAAGTAATTTTTTTTATTAAAATGCTTAAATTGTAGGTTTTGTTCATCGAAAGGGGGGAGGGGGGTGCGGTGGGTCCCAGAGGTGACCCAGTCGCGTAGTGCACGGGTTGGCACGTGAAGCGGAGTAAATGCTCGGTTTAGCCACCGGAGGTTCAGCTGTCCCAGACCGTTAGGCCACAAAGGTGTGGGTCCCCCTTTCCCGAGTAGCTGCAGGGGTGATGCTGGTGGGTTTGGTCAAATACACGGTTCATTTCCCCACGTAACGCCTGCCTGGCGAGATCCGATCTAGACACGGTCGTCTCCACTGCCCAATTCAGAACGGAGCACGGTTCGGCGTTAAGAGTGTACATGGCCAAAAGGACACCCTGCTAAAATAATAATTTAGTTTTGTTAAGCCATGCAATGGAACGTGTTTTTTATTGGGGTGCGTAGCACAGTGCAGCGCCCGTCGGTGTGAATAAGAGAGCACTGGAAGGGATTTCACCTTCTGTGGGCCATTCTCCAGCAGTGGGGGTCGCTCACTGATCTGCGAGGGTTCTGAATGGACATGATGCCAGTAGCGTAAATGGAATAAAGTTGGGGGAGATTGTGAAACTTTCTTACAGCTGAAGCTGAATATGAGCAAGAAGCAAAGTGTGTCGTGCGTTTGCATCAGAAGTTGCCCGTTAATAATGGTAAAATAAAAAATAATTTTTTTACGCTCTGTTCCACTAAATGGGTTCGTGTTCGTGCATGGTACATCCAAATGTATATACGCAGCAAAGTAAACCGCCAGAGGTGTTTTGAGGGTGCAGTTCCCGTGCGTGCGTTCGCCTATCTGACGTACGACGCTGAGAACGCCTTACCCCTCCGCGTTCAGTCTCCCAACGCGGGCGTACAGGCGGTGGCGATGACGACGACGATGGCACGGGAGCGCGTTGGCTGACGCGCTGCTCTTCCCCCCCCTTCGCCCCTTTATCCCACGCCGCGTCCCTCAGATAAACTGGACGGACTTGGCGGAGGCTGCAAGAGGAAACGCGACTTGCTGACCTCAGCAAAGCAGCGCATGGAGGATTACCTCTCGCTGCCCGAGTACTTCAGCCAGCGCCCCGCACAGCCGGGGAAGAAACGGGTGAGGCTCCCCCGTTGCACGCGCTCCCGTTTTTAGTTTTGCGCCGTTGGTTTGATTTCGATGATGTAAGTGAACCCCCCGTTCCGATTCCATTCCAATGAGGTGCGTGTACACTGCTATCAAAACGAAACTGGAAAGAAAAGCAAATAAATAACTTTATCGGTACCGAGGACTCCCACAAGGCCATGCCGGAAAGACGTGTGGCGCAATTTGGTGCCAGCTATTTTAGAGTGGCGGTCGAGTCGCTACAGTTCTCTGCGGTGAGTAACAACGTCTTTAAAAACAACGGCACTGCTACGTCTCTGCGAATAAAATTTACGCTGAGCCACTTGCGTGTTCAAAGTTTCAGTTGAACGGGGGACACCGCACCCTGCATCTTGCAGACGTCTCTCGTAACGGCGAAGAAGGGTTAATATTCGAGGCTTTTCATGATCGCTGTCATGCGTATTCGCGACAGAATTACCGGGGAGTGCTGTTTTATTAATTAGCGGGGTTGTATTTTAGGTGTTCGCGGCCGTAGCGCACTGCTGCCCGACAAGAGAGTCGCGAGGGAGCCGCTCTTATTTTTCACACACGAGAACATTTTCGACTAGAAAATATCTTTCCATAATATAGGTTTTTTGCGTAAGATCGCGTAAATATAAATGTGTCGTTAAACCCGCCACCACCCTACACAGCCAATTGGTAAGGTTTGTCGTGTTAACAAAGCGTGCCATTTCGTTATTAGTTCAGCACACCGGTGTATTGGAAAGTGAACCCACAAAATGTACAATTTGAGTACGACGTTTCGCCGATAATTACAACCGGCATTTAAATTTACGCGATCTAACCCAAAAAAACTCTTGTGGATAATATTTGTCGCGAAAGCCTAATGCTCTTAATGTATACACGTATGTTGAACTTATTTCGCTCCGTTTGTAGCCAACCGTGCTTAATCGTAGGTGTGGGGGAAGGACAACCAATTAAACAACAAACAGTTCTAAAGAAATTAGTTTTTCAATCTAGATGATTTAAAAGTGCGTAGCTCCATCGGAGACTGAGCACCTGGCGCCGTAGTTGGGCGTGAGTCTTGCCAGCAGCAGGGGGGGAGGGGGCGATGATTGCCTTGCGTCTTCCCAATTGTGAGTGACTTCCACGTAACGTTTAACATTTCTCAAAAAAAAATGGCCTGCTCGTTTCGAACCGAATTGTGGGACCTTTAAATCTCCGCTGTGGTATCTTTGTGGTATAACACACACCGCATTAACCATTTAAACATTTTTATTTTACCAGGTCAGGTCCACTGAGCTATATAGCTCTTTCTCAGAACCGACCTGGCGACAAATGATAGCTCAACAAAGTGGCTTATCACGTGGAAATCTATAGCAGCCAAATACTCTAAATGCACGTTGATTCGAAATGTGGAGGGAAAAACCGGAGGGTCCAGAGAAAAGTCCACACGACCACGGGGAGAGAGACACGCAAACTCCAAATATACAGCAAACGTCAGGGTCGGGATCGAACTCACGACCCTCATGTAGACCAGGCGAGGTCGTTAACATCTCGCCACCGTGGCGCCCATAATAACCAGGGTGGCCTGCGGGATTCGAAACACGAACCTCTGCGACAAGCTGCGGACGCCTGACCAGCGGATCTACGTGGTGACCACACCGCCCCCACCCCCTCCCCCTTGGTAAACACGGTGCTTGCGTTTTTCCGCAGGTGCGCTGGGCCGACCTGGAAGAGCAGAGCGAGGCGGAGAGAAAGCGCGCCATCGGGTTTGTGGTGGGTCAGACGGACTGGGATCGCATCACGGACGAGAGCGGGGAGTTTGCCGCCAAAGCTCTTAATCGCACTCGATACTTTTAACCGTAAACTCCCGTTAGGTGTTTGCCGACAGCTCTGGGTAAGTGTCTCGCTACCTACATCAGCCTTCACGCCCACCACACCGCGCACACGTTAGTGGACATCCCCGTAGTTGCAGTCCTGTTTAATTCTACGTGAATTTTGAGATTTGTTGATGATTGTGTTCGCAATTCAAAAATGTCTTTATTGATGTCGTGGAAAAATATTTTGCCCCTTTGTATATGTGTTAAACTTATTTCGCACTGCACGTAGCCAACCGTGCTAATCGGAGGTGCGGGGAAAGGACACCAAACTAAGCGCATGAAGCAGTTTTAAAGAAATGAGCCAATGGCCAGGTCACCCGAAATGTGCCTGATTGTGGCAAACCTTGGAAACTTATGCAGGCTTGAAACTGTATAATGGATGGATGGGCAACCATCATGCATGACAGATGTTGCAGGCTGCCGGGCTAAGTTGTGGCCTGCAGAGGGCAAACATCCATAGCTGTAATCTGCCACCACATCCATGCTATGCCTGCCTTCACCATCACGCGCTGACCGGCGCGGTGAAGTATGGTCAAATATGCCCCACAAACCCTGCACGGGACGGGGAGGTCGGCATCCAACAGTGGATTGGCATAAGTGCTGCGCACGTAGACCAAATGAAATGTGGCACAAGCAAGTGAAAGTTTAAGTGATGTTGCGATGTTTTACCTGTTGACATTTGATAGAAGCTAGATGCAAAACCTTGGCTCTCACGGTTGATCTGTCAGGATTGAATCCCTGTTTCTTCGTAAATACGGCCTAGCCTTTGCAGTACAGTAACATGGTTTCTTGAGCTGTGTGTTTTTTGAGTTCTCCGTTGCGAATTGCGTGGGCTTATCCTCTGCGATTTCTCCTTCACAAACGCAATACGGTCCCTTTGCAAAGGCTTGCCTAACCGTGCCGACGCAGGGGGGAAACCCCCCTCTTGCGAATGTAACTGTTCGCGCACCTGTGATCCGCAATCCAGAGGTCGCCGCCGCCACGCTTTGATCGCCCGGCAGCGTGGCAGATGAAATGATAGGGCGAGTTTATTAAATCCCTCCGCCTCTGTCCAGCCGGCCGAATAAGTATGTTCTCCACCGATAAAGTCTTATGATGGGCAGGTCACGTGTAGTGGGGTAAAGTGTTGGTTCTCTCCCACCTCTGCCAAAAGCATCTGGCCAGCGTGGAAGAGTAGGCCAACATACCCTCTATAGGGGGTTTGTTGTCCTGACCCCCCCCCCCCCGCACCTACGATTAGCACGGTTGGTTAGGTACGGTGCAAAAGAAGTTCAACACGTACATAGAGCTCTCTCTGCTGAAGGCCCTAATGGCCAAGCAGTGGCTTGAGGAACACATTTCAGGGGACTGCTGATTCAAGTGAACACAACCTCCTGAAAGGTAAAACTGAAAGAGACAGGAGCAAAAATGTATGCAGAGTTTCGATGTCACATGGGGTTATGATTGTCCATTCTGTGTTGCGCTCTGATACGTAATTTTTTAAGTTCTGAAACCCCGTTGTCTGTTAAAACTTGTGACATTTTGGATGTTTTTTTATTTCCTTTTAGGTGACCGAGATGGAAGGAAAAGTGGGATGAAAGAAAGTTGCGTCTACTTTAAACAAACGAAAAGATGGACAATTCATTTTCTGCGAAGGAGGCTTTTACGTAATCCCAAGGCCTGTTCTGTAACGAGTTGCATACGTGGTTTGTGGGTTTTTTATGTGAATTAAATGCTTTCCCGTTTAATTATTCCCATTTGTGAATTTAGGAAACAAAATGTGTTAAAAGGGTCAATTTTCACAGGGCGGAGATGGCAAAACAAACATCGTTTTTTTTACTGTAAACCAACCGCAACGCCCCCCCCCCCTCCACTGTGCCCTGGCGCACGCGGTAACACGGAAGACGTGGGAATGTGGATAACGAGCAATCGTGTCGCTCGCGAAGGTATAGTATTCGTTTTTGGGGGAGTTTTAACATTGAGCAGGCAGTGTCGCGTGTTTAAACGTAGTTCCTTGTTGCTGCCTTAGCCATTTAAAAGTTGGCCACTGGCTTATGCCTTGGAGGTGGTACTAGATGTTAGTGCGCTGCGCGGGCTGTGATGAACCCTGGCCACGGCGACCATCGTGAGCGAGTGATATCGGAGCTGATCCTGCGCTCCCCCCCCCCCTTCACTATGACCAGCATGGCGAAGTATGGTCAAAAAATCTCCATGACTCCCGCATGGCATGGGCGGTAGTCGTTTATCACTTGGTGGATTGACGAATGTCCGGAATAGAATTGTTTTGTGCCCTCGCTCATACAGGGGGGGGGGGAGGGAGATTCGTAGCCATTAACATTGGGCGATGGTCTTTGGCGTTGGAGCGTGTGCTGCTGCTGCTTCTGCATGGGACTTTGTTGGTCCCTGCCGTGTCCGCGGCCTGTGCGACAGGCACGCGATTCAGGGGGGGGGGGGGCGATGTGCCCTCGTGAGATTGTTCACCGCTTTACTCGAGTGACGGGGCGCGCCCGCTGGCAACGCGTTTAAAATCGCCTCGGTAAGCAACGTCGGATGAACTCGCTGGACTCTTGATAACTGGTTTGTCACCGATTATTTTGTTTTCTGCTGCTGTTAGGAGTTACAAAGATTTGTGTTTTGCCAGGGTGGCTTGGACGAGTTCAACATCACCTGCATTTCTATCGGTGCATTCCCCCCCCCCCCCCCCCAAATAAAAAGGCACTGGTTATCAATCGAATTTAGACGGAGAACATTTTCATATGGACGGTCGTCTGTGCGTGGGCATCGAATATAGATTTCATCACGTGGCATCCCGAATCGCCAGGTCCCGCTGCTCATTGCTGCAGGATTAGCTAAGATGAGCAGTTCGTCACTCGTAGATCAATCGCCCTCTTAAGTGATGACGCGTCATAATAATTACATTTATAAAACGTGTTTCGTCAAGATTAGCCATGTGTGCACCCCCCCCCTCCCCCTTGCAGAGTAACTCTCCACTACAGACCCAATCCCTGCCCAACCACAGTCCCATCTTTTTCACATTATTTACTTGTCATACACAGGAGCCCATTTACACACACACACGCGATGACCATGCGATGCCTTTGGCAAGCTATAGGAGGACGTGTGTGTGTGCGAGCCTGGTTTTTTTAATCTACACGTTTACTTGGCGTTCCGTCCTGTGCTCGTAACATTCGTCGGCGGGGCTCGACTCATCAATGTGCTCGAACGCAGCCTGCTGGGTTGGGGCTCACTGGCTCCTGGTGCTGCTCATACCATCGTGATGGACACAGTCCCTGGACCCATCACTCCCCCCCCCCAAAAAAAAACATCCCCCTCCCTCTGCGGTTGGGTTTACAAGTCGGAGATTGTATGAAAGATTTGCGAAAATGGATTAACCCGGGTACCCCCCCCCCCCACCCCGCGTGTTTTACGCTGGCGACGAGACGAAACGTCGTCCAACGATGCACAGAATGAATAACGGGGACATCTTTCGAGTGATCGCGTGCGACATTGGACAGGGAGGTGGTGGGGGGGTGACTTTGTCTGCCGTTACCTGTCGCGTATTCCCCGCGGAAAAAGCTTCGTTTTTGTCGTTGGACGTGATTTGATGAGTTGGATCGTTTTTTTGTAACAAAAACAAATATCTCGCGCGGTTGGTGGTCGCGTGAAATGTTCATGGTGTTGTTGGGGGGGGGGGATGTTCTTTCTGGGTGAGTGCGCCGCCGGTGGAGGGCAGGCGAAGCGGTGCACGCAGACTGTGAACGTGAATTGTAAACGCCGCGTGATAAATATAATCCCCGGATCGCAGCTGCGCAGTCCTCTCTCGTGTGTCGTCTGTCGTGCGTGCTTCTTGACGGCTGCTGTGGTGTGTTTGTGTGTGTGTATGTTGAACTTCTTTCGCGGATGGAGAACAAACTAAACGCGCATATTTTTCGATGTAAAGCTTTCGTGACTGCAGGGATTCATCTTCTTGGTTCTTTCGGTAAAGTCACGTAGAAGGGAAGTAATAAAATAATAAAAATAAAACATATTTTATTTTATTATGTTTTATTTTTATTATTTTATTACTTCCCTTCTACGTGACTTTACCGAAAGAACCAAGAAGATAAACGCGCATACTCTGGTTTTTTCGGTAAAGTCACGTAGGTAAAATATAAAATAAATGAAAACTAAATTAAATCACGACGTTTTGGGCGCCAAGTCGCTTTTGAAAAAGAGCTACAATATCTAACTCGGTGGGCCTTACCTGGTGAAATCAAATAAAAACACAAAGCGAAATAGTTTGGCTGGTTCAGGTCGGAATCAGGTTGGTGGGCGCATTCCCGGCAGCGGAGGCTATGCACGCACACGATCCAGCCCCGTGGAGGCAGCAGCGAGGGTTGGTGAATTACCGAAGAGATGTGGGTGTCATCGAGGTGCCATACCCTGGCTTGCCAGCAGAAGGCGGCATACAGCAAGTGTGGACTTCAATCTCTGTTCCATCTGTACGGGGATTAGAGTGTTGCATCCTCGCACGTGTGGGTTTGCTCTGGTTTTCTCCGGTTTTACTGGACATCTGTGCAAGAAAAGAGCTGCTTAGCTCATCGGATTCCTTCAATCCTAAATGAAGATTCAGATTTCTGATTCCTCCCACATTAGATCGGTTCTGGCTGCTTTGCCGCTCATGTCAGAATCGGAATCATAATATTTACACTGCAATAGGAATCAGATGAGCTATAAAGCTCTTTTCACGGATGTCCAGTAGAGGCGGGTCAGAACGTTACAACAACAAACAGTAGAAAAACATGATCGTAGCGCAAAGTACGAAAAAGGTTTAAAAGAAACCCAAACACCAACAAATACCACACTAAACCATCCACATCCTACCAGGCAAAGCCCACTGAGGCATTCACTTATCAGAAGCGACCTGGCCACAAACGATGGCTCAACAAAGTGGGCCCCATCATTGTACATTTATAGCAGCAAAATCATCTCACGTGGTTCACTGCGTGTGACTTCGTCTTTGCATACTTGACTCGCCTTGAAGCGTGGGAGTGAAACGAATGGGAAGTGAGTGCCTCGCAAATGTGTGCGACGTGGCATTTGCCGTGAAGCCTTCGCCCGTGCAAGTTAATTGGATTGCAGAGTGCGACATCGCCCTCTGCACCGAATCGTGGCACTCGGCGTGTTCACGATCAATCAATTAATACGCGTGGCCTCTTGCATTACTCTGGTAACTAATTAGTCACGCAATCACGTCATGACCCCTCCCCCCCGCCTCAAATGAGTACATGGTGCTGTGTGTAAACAGCATTGGGGAGACAAAGGCGGCCGGGGAAGGTGCTAGCCACCCACTCGTGTGCCGTTCCGGCCTTCATAGGTGCTCGCTAACAGCACTTGCTCCTCCAGCCTGTTAAGGCTACACGGGTGATCTTTTTCTTTGGAGAAGGAGAGAGGAACACAGTGGCATGTCTATCTAAATTAAAATATCTCCACGTGGATAAATCTTAAGATGAAGCATCACCGCTTGCAAGGCAGTGCCAGGTTACAAGCGCGCACACACGTGTGTGCGATCGTCTTCACAATGAGCAGATGCAATCTCGATATGAAGCGTAAGATGCTAAAGGGGCCCGACCAGCTGAAAGCAACAAGGAGCACTCGTGATGGCAATCTGCATGCACGTAACGGATACCTACTGACCCAATGTCGATCCTAATGATGTTGCCCAAGTGTTAGAAAGGTCGTCTGTGGCGCATATAACCTTACTGCGAGAACAACCCGTAAACCAAACATGATCGACATTTGGCCAAGGAGGTGAATCGGATCCGTTTACTCATAGGGTTAAAGTATTTCAATCGCTTTAAGTTGGGTGTTAGACGATTACAAATGTTACCATCCACGTGATCCGCATAGACGTCGACCCGTACGGTTTACCCCTTATGCTTGACCATGGACATTGAATTTCGATTTAAAGCTTTCGTGACTGCAGGGATTCATCTTCTTGGTTCTTTCGGTTAAGTCACGTAGAAGGGAAATAATAAAATAATAAAAATAAAACAATAAAATAATTCTTACGACGTTTTGGCCACAACGCAAGCAGCCGTCCTCAGGTGAAGAACAGGTCTGTCGGAAAGACAGCGTCTTTTTTATTTTATTATTTCCCTTCTACGTGACTTTGCCGAAAGAACCAAGAAGACAGGGACATTGAGTTTTCAGGTCCATACGGCGTACAGCCGTTTCAATACGGGCAAAAATAAATGTATCTATTTGTTTGTGTTTCTCCCTTGTGATGTGACTTTGTAGGATGAACGTTCAGATTAATAAAGGCACGGGGTGACCAATAAGGTCTGAATTGGTCTGTAACAAGGTAGGGGCACTGATATGAGGTTGACAGGGATGTGATCAGTGGGCCGAGTAATTCGCGTAAAGCGAAGTGCGATTGTTCGCCTGGATATAAAGCGACGCTTAATGTTTATTTTTACTTCAGTGCTCCCGTGGATTTCTTTTTGTGAGTCATGGTGATGATAAATTAGTGAGAGGGAGATATATTTCTTATTTGTATATAACTGCGTATTTGGAGACGCTTGCCAACGTGTTCGTCTTTAAAGCTGCCGTGGATTTCTTTTTGTGAGTCATGGTGATACGGGAGGGGGGGGGTCGAGTGGGAGGGTGTGATGGATGGCTTATAGGTCTTTTTTTTAACCCATAAATGTCATTGTTTGTCTGTGTCCGTGTGTGCGGCCCAAACTTGCTAAGGATTTGGCTCGCAAACCGTGGGGTCTTCGTGTTAAAAAGAGTAGCCAGTTAGCACGCCATAAGCCCCGTGCTGAGCCATTCCGATTTCGCGTAAGTCACCTTTAAAGTAGTTTAATTAGCGATTTAGTGCTGTTTTCAGTTATGGGGGAGGGGAGGGGCTCCTACCAACTGACACGCGTTCCGTGGGGGGGGGCCCTACCAAGTCACACGCGTTCCGTGGGGGGGGAGGGGCTCCTACCAACTGACACGCGTTCCGTGGGGAGGAGGGGCTCCTACCAACTCACACGCGTTCCGTGGGGGGAGGGGCTCCTACCAACTGACACGCGTTCCGTGGGGGGGAGGGGCTCCTACCAATTGACACGCGTTCCGTGGGGGGGAGGGGCTCCTACCAACTCACACGCGTTCCGTGGGGGGGAGGGGCTTCTACCAATTGACACGCGTTCCGTGGGGGGGGAGGGGCTCCTACCAACTCACACGCGTTCCGTGGGGGGAGGGGCTCCTACCAACTCACACGCGTTCCGTGGGGGGGAGGGGCTCCTACCAACTCACACGCGTTCCGTGGGGGGAGGGGCTCCTACCAACTGACATGCATTCCGTGGGGGGAGGGGCTCCTACCAACTGACACGCGTTCCGTGGGGAGGAGGGGCTCTTACCAACTGACACGCGTTCCGTGGGAGGGAGGGGCTCCTACCAACTGACACGCGTTCCGTGGGGGGGAGGGGCTCCTACCAACTGGCACGCGTTCCGTGGGAGGGAGGGGCTCCTACCAACTGACACGCGTTCCGTGGGGGAAGGGGCTCTTACCAACTGACACGCCTTCCGTGGGGGGGAGGGGCTCCTACCAACTGAGTGTGTGTAGGTCAATGTGTTTGTGAGTCTATGTATGTGTGTGTGTGAGTCCGTGTGTGTCTGTACGTCGATATGTGCGTGTGTAAGTTCATGTGTGTGCGTAAGTCGATGTGTTTGAGTGTGTACGTCGATGTGTGTAAGTCCATGTGTGTGTAAGTCTGTGTGTGTGTCAGTCTACGTGTGTGTGTCAGTATATGTGTGTGAGTCGCTGTATGTGTGTACGTCGATATGTCTGCATGTAAGTGTGTGTGTGTGGCTCTATGTGCGTGTGTGAGTCGATGTGTGTGTAAATTGATGTGTGTATGTTCGTCGATGTGTGTGTATGTAGGTCGATGTGTGTGTGGGTCAATGTGTGTGCGTGTAAGTCGATATGTGTGTGTGTGTGTGTTTTTTTTACGCCCGGGCAACGCCGGGTACTTCCCGCTCGTATGCTATCTAAGTCTATATAAATGTATAAACGCTTGCCAACGTGGAACTTCCGCGGATTTCTTTTTGTTCGTCATTGGTGATAAAGTCGGGGGCTGAGTGAGTGGGAGGGAGATAGAAGATGGCTTAGATGAGGAGTCGGAAATCTGCGGTTCCAGAACCGCATGAGGCTCTTTAAGGATTGCTTCGTGACCGATAATTCACACGCATTGCGGCTCTTGAAATATCGATCGTTATTTTTTTGTTTACAGAATTCGATAAAAAAAAAGTCTCTTTTTTATTTTGGTTGCCGATCCCTGGCCAACTCGGAACTTCCGCGGATGTTTAAGAGCTGCCGTGGATTTCTTTTTGTTCGTCATGGTGATAAAGTGGGAGGTTGCTGAGTGGGAGGGAGTGGAGTATATATAAATATATAACGCCGTGTGCTGGTGAGGAGAGAGAGAGCGAGAGCGAGGGAGCCGAGGAGAAGGGAGAGAGATCGGATCGCTGTTCACTCCGCCGTGGTGCTGATCGGCTCAGCTTCATATAAATCACGCGCGCGCACACACAGACAGACCCGCGTTATTGTGTAAACGTTCGTTCGCTGTCCTCACTCGAGCCGCTGTGGTCGTACGTCAGAGGTAAGGAGGAGTTAGGGAAGCTCACGGACGGAAGGTATTCTGAAGGAACACAACGGAAACGGATACATGTGATAGGCAGGCGAGCGGTGATGATTAATAATAATAATCCTCATAATAAAACATTTATAGTCTAGAATAACATGCAGCTGTCTTGCAGGCGAGAGCTGGGATTATAAGGGAAATCCACGACAGATATAGCATGCAGATTAAGAATACGTTTGCGACGGTACAGTGCTTGTGAATACATTACGAATCGTCAGCGCATTAGACGTACGAATGAATAAACGGTAGAGAAATATTTTATGGGAATTAATTATATATTTTATTTTAATAATACATTATTTAAAAAAAAAAAAACCTCGTACTGTTTAGAGCACAATGAAGTTTATAAGCGGAGGCGATAGCTGGGATTATAGCTGAACGAGAGAGGCAGTAAGCACGCAGATTTACAACGCGTTGGTGTAGCCTACGACGCAGCAGCAGACTCTTTTCGCTGTGCGCATATTGGCAATCATCGAACGAGCGAAATGAATGAATGAATGAGCGCGAGAGGAACGACACGGGTGACGAGACGAGAAGACGTTGCGGCAACCGAAGCAGGAAGAATATTAATCATATATCGTGTGAAGAGCGTACCGGATTGCGAATGTCACCAGCATTGAATGGACGTGCGCATGAATGATTGAGTTGCATGAGCGCCTAGAGGAACGAACGGGGCAAGACGAGACATCGGCAACCCGGGACTGGGAGAATATTCCAAAGCGTCCTTCGACGACGAAGAGTGTGAGCGAGAGAGGAGAGGCATGGAGGAAGAACTCAAGTGCCCCGTGTGCCAGGCGCTGTTCAGCGACCCGGTGATCCTTCCCTGCTCGCACAGCCTGTGCCAAGACTGCGCCTCCACGTGTGCCGCCACGCCGAGCCCAGACTGCGAGACACCTCCTCCTCTACTACCGCCACAGCATAATCCTCCTCCTCTTCCTCAACATCAGCATCATCATCAACAGCAGCAGCATCATCAGCATCATCAACAGCATCAGCAGCAGCTGCAACAGCATCAGCAGCAGCTGCAACAACAGCAGCAGCAGCAGCAGCGAAGGGCGTCTTGCCCCGACTACGAGGCAGCTGGTCTCGACGCGGATCAGCTGAGCCTCTACAGCGAAGCGGACAGCGGCTACTACGGCTCCTTCCTCGGCAACCCGACGGGAGGCTCCCCGGGTCCCCTGCGCTCCACCCCTCTGAGCCGCCGCCACACGCTCCTGCTGCTGCCCGCGCTCGCGTGCCCGCGGTGCAGCAGGGTCGCGCATCTGGACGAGAGAGGAGTGCAAGGACTACCCCGCAACAGGGTGCTAGCGGCGGTCGTGCGCAGATTCCGATTGCGGGAGCGGCAAGAGAAGGAGGAGAATGATGATGATGATGTTGTTGTTGAGGATGTCGACGAGGAAGTAGCCAACGTAATCGCTGGTGGTGGTGCCGCTGCCGGGGATGATTCTTCTGCAGTCTGCGAGCTTTGCGATGGCGATAGCCCCCAGGCTGCGAGCGTGCTCTGTGAACAGTGCCAGGTGGCGTACTGCGACGCCTGCCGCAAGAGATGCCACCCGGCACGCGGGCCCCTCGCTCGCCATCGACTGCTGCCCGCCGCGGGCAGAAGCCGGGACGCGGCTGCCGAAAAGTCGGCGGCGTGGAAGCAGAGGGCCCACGATGGTGACGGCGATGAGACGCAGGAGGAGGGAGCAGCCGCTCAGGTGATTATCACTGGGAGGTTTTTTTTTCTTCTTGGTTCTTTCGGTAAGTCACGTAGAAGGGAAGTAATAAAATAATAAAAAATAAAACATAATAAAATAATTCTCACGACGTTTCGGCCACAACGCAAGCAGCCGTCCTCAGGTGAAGAAACAGGTCTGTCGGGAAGACAGTCTGAATGACACACTCCAGGCTTGGGGCGTCTATTTAAGCTGGGTTGGAGGGGGAAGGGGCGCCTTGACAAAAGAAGAGATGCCGCGACTCTAAGGTATTTTTATGGGAGGTTTTTATTTTATGCTTTTATTACCGGCAGATTTTTTGTGTATATTATTGCTGGCGTGTTTTTCATTATTGCTGGCAGGTGATTATCACTGGCGTGTTTTATTTTGTTTTTATTACTGGCCGGCTTTTTATGTTATTGCTGGCAGGTTTTGATTGTCACCGGCAGCAGTCGTTGTTGCGGTAGAAGTCGATGTAGTCGCAGTTGGGAGTGACATTTGCTTGGTATGGTCGAGTCAATTGTTTTTCTTTACGTACTTTGCGTCGCCTTTTTTGGCACGAATCTGCCCACTCAAAGTGCCGTCACGTTAAAACTCAAGATACCATTCGAAACGATGAGGGAAAATAAAATACCTTCACAAACTACCTACAGTTGTTTAGCGGGTAATTTTTCAAATTTTGGTCACCGTATCGGCGCACCAGGGGGATGAGATGTTAACTCCCTCGCCTGGTAGGCAGGAGGTCGTGGGTTCAATCCCGACCCTGACGCCTGCTGTATATTTGGAGTTTCCGTGTCTCTCTCTTTCTCATCATCATCACGGTGGCTAGGAGATGCTAACTACTTCGCCTGGTATGCAGGAGCTTGGGGGTTCCATCCCGACCCTGACACCTGCTGTATATTTGGAGTTTGTGTGTCTCTCTCTCATCATCATGGTGGCTAGGAGATGTTAACTACCTCGCCTGGTATGTAGGAGCTCGAGGGTTCGACCCCGACCCTGATGCCTGCTGTTGTATATTTGGAGTTTGCATGGTCACTCTCCTCGTGGTGGCGTGGATTTTTTCTCCGGGTCCTCCGGTTTTCCCCTTCACATTTAGAATGAACGTGAATTGAGATTATTTAGATTATATCGGTGCTATATATGTCCAAATGATGGGGCCACTTTGTTGAGCTATCATTTGTGGCCAGGTCGCTTCTGCAAAATAAGTTAATGCCTCAGTGGGCTTTGCCTGGTAGGCTGGGGATGGTTTAGTGTTTTTTTGTACGAGTTTGATTTTTTAACCTTTCTTGTACTTTGCACCCCTATCGTGTTTTTGTATTGTTTGTTGTTACAACGTTCTTACCCACCACTTATGGACATCTGTGAAAGGGAGTTTTATAGCTCATCTGATTCCTCCAGGATAAATACAGATTCTGATTCTCTTGCGAATGACAAAATCACGGGATCTTTGACGCCAGCTGTGAAGCGGAGGGTCCATATCGTACGGTACGGTTAATGCACTCCGCGGCGTTAACCGGGGCGGTCCTGCCGAATTCGCACCGTGAACGTCTTAAAACAAACAGCAGCAGCAGCAGCAGCGTCATAATCACAGGAACTCCCTTGTCAGTATCAAAATATAAGAATATGTTTTACCCTTTCTGGCAAATTAAACAGGCAGTGTTAAGATGTTAAAACACCAAACTAAAAACTTTTGCAAGGAATCATGTCTGCATTAATCGCATATATTTGTGGTGAACGAAGGGAGAAACCTATTCTTATATTTTGATACTGGCAAAGGAGGTCCCATGATGTAGCTGCTCACCCCGAGTTCTCAATGCCTTGATAGTGACATTGTCTTTGTGCTGTTCGCCTTTTGGCGTCCTCTGGTCTAACACTGTTTGAGACTCGGCTCTAAAGAAAGCTGTCTCTGGTGTGGACCAATCAGTTTCAAAGACGATGCATATACTACCAGAGCATTTATTTAGTTTGCATGTTCATCACAAGTATACGTGCTTAATGCAGACATGATTCCTTGCAAAATGTTTCAGTTCAGTGTTTTATTTCCAGAAAGGATAAACCTATTCTTATAGTGCCATAATCGTTATCATCAGCCCGCAGCGACATTATCATCGTTGGTAACATCAGCAGGAGTATCAGTGGAATCATCATTATTGAACATCCTTATCAGCAGCAGCAGTAGCAGCATCTTAAACATCATCAGCAGCAACTGCATCAGAGTAATCAAAATCATAATGATCAGCAGCATCATTATACTAAGCAGCATCATCATTAATATAACCACCTAATTTAGATGTTGCAGTGCTTTCCAAAATAAATTGTATATGTCTCTCTCGAGTGGTGGTATTTCCACACCGCGCCAGGCTACTCATTTGAGGCCAAGTTGACCTAGAGGAGGCCCAGGACCCGTTCAGATAATCGGCACTGGTGTTGGTGACCGTGAGCGTGAATCGAACCTGGGGGTCACCGGGGGGTGGGGAGGATTTGTAGCGCACCGCTGCCATGTCTCGATCTGTCTCGCTCCAGCAGCCGTGGGTGGCCAGAGTAGAAGTCGTTGCGCAACCTGTGAGCTGTCACTCTTTGGTTCTTTCGGTAAAGTGACGTGTAAAGATAAAATAATAAATTAAATACTAGCATACGACGTGTCGATTGCAACACAAGCAATCGTCATCAGGTATAAATGAAATAGAAACACAAATCTAGTATACTTTGAAATGTAATGTAATACAACAGAGAGTCGGGTAACATAACAGTCAACACCCTATCTGGTTGATTACGTTCTTTCTGAGAATGCTAAATTCGAGAGAGAGATCGAAACGTCGTATGCCATTATTTAATTTATTATTTTATCTTTATACGTGACTTTACCGAAAGAACCAAAGAGTAATTCCTGCAATCACGAAAGCTCCAAATTAACTGTGAGCTGTCATTAACGAGCCGCCCCACCCCCCTCCGACCCCGCGGGTCCCCGCGTGCTTTTTTTTGTGCCCAGGAGGTTCCGCCGTGCTCCGGCCTCGTGGCGTCGCGTCGCGAGTTGCTCGCCGGCCGCCTCTCGCCGGCCGTCTGGCAGCAGCAGCAGCAGCAACAGCAACAGCGGCAGCGGCGGCAATGGCGGCGACGGCTTCACGAGGGGCTGCCGGATCGGCCGCAGTCCGTCGACCTGGCGGCACTGCGCTCCGGTGGCCCCGGCGGCGGCGACGACGGTGGCGGCACCGTTGGAGGAGGAGGAGGAAGAGGAGGAGGCATCGTGAGCGCGACCGTGAGCGCGTGCGACGAGCACGAGCTGGAGCACCACAGCATGTTCTGCGTGACGTGCGCCCGCCCCGTGTGCTACCAGTGCCTGGAGGAGGGCAGCCACTCGCGGCACACCGTGCGGGCCCTCGGGGCCATGTGGCTTCAGCACAAGGTGAGAGAGCGTCGCGCGGTGGGACTGGGGGCTGGGGGGGGTAACGCGCCGTGCCCCATGTCGGGACGTCGGTCGTCAAGACGGCTTTCCCGCACGACGTTCGGCGGCACGATGTCCGACGTTTCGGGTGCGCGTGCCGGGGGAGATTCAGAAAAGGTCGTCGTTTGCGCCGGTGCCGGAACGACGCGCGCGGGGGCGCAAACCACGGCGCGACGCCGGACGTCTGCGAGAAAGAGCTTCGCGGCTCATCGGATTCCTCCACCGCAAAGGAATATTCTGAGTGCGACGCATCGGAGACAGGTCGGCCTCCCTCACGCTGCGTCTCCACGGTCTTCTGATTGACGCCCGAAAGGTTCGGCGCGAGCGGATGGGTGCAGGGCAGGACGTGCACAGCTGTAGCAAGGGGGGTAGGGATCTGCTAGAGGGGGTGGGTGGGTGGGGGGTACAGAGAGGAGTCTTGTACAGACCTCGGACAAAAGCCTTTTGAATTGTGTGCCCAAGTCTGGCCCCGGCTGTGGTTAACCTGTTTCGATACAGCCACACAAACCCATCCGTCCATCACTTGAATTGTCCATAGGTGGTCTCCCGCTCATTGACCCATCCTTTCCCGTGCCTTTGAGTTGCGATTATTATTCTAATAATGCTCTCAATGCATGCATGTGTATGGAACTTATTTCGCACCGTACGTAGCCAAGCGCGCTAATCGGAGGTCCGGCGGAGCGAGGACAACGAACTGAACACAAAAAGTGGTTCTCAAGAAATGAGTTCGCAATCTGGATGATTTAAGAATGCATAGCTCCAGTGGCTTCCTGATATCAGAAGAGCGATCGAGACGGCCGCAAAAGCGCATCCGAAAGTGCGCGATGGCGGTGACGACCGTCTTTGTTCGATGGCTTAGCCAAAAGCCGCCACTGCTGCCGTGAGGGTGACCGGAGTTTGTGTGACGATGACAATTTATTGGTCCTGTGGTACCCAGATGTCGGTGCCAGTCAACTCCCGCTGCCAGCCGGCCACGACATCCGGACGCAGAGCGATCTCGGAAAATGGGTCACGCACAGAAATTAAAAACCCATCCCTTTAGAACTGCTTTTTTTTGCGTGTGTCAGCCACTTGATGGGTTTCAGCATGCTCACAAATGACACACACACACACAGACACGTAACACAGTCAGGCTTGCTCAACGCTGCTGGTTTATTCCAGATGTTATTGGTGAGAGCACTCACTCTAGATCATGGCGCCCTGTCATCAGAAACTTCGCAGCTGTTGTGGATGATGCATTGCTCATACGCACCTCCCGATTGGCACGGTTGGTTATTTACGGTGCTAAAGAAGTGTAACGTACACACGCGTGCAGGGGATGTCCGAGACATCCTCACGCACTCGCACCACGCAAGACACGCAGTCTCCACACTCCACAAGGCACGCCCCAATCACACGCACGGGAATGCACGAGACGGGGGTCAAGGGTTAAGGGGCACTGACGTCACACGGACTCGAGCCGGAGATGTGGATTGGGAACGAGGGTGGAGGTGGATACTTTAAAAGGGGCTGTGAGAGACCCGTGTCCGGGATTGGTCTTAGGAACGAGCGTGGCTGCGGTTTGAAGAATCAAGAAGTGCCTAACCATTCTAGATTTGAAGCTTTCGTGACTGCAAGGATTCATACTCTTAGGCTTTTTCGGTAAAGTCACGTAGGTAAAAAATAAAATTTATAGAAGTAATAATAGCAATAATAAATCACGACGTTTCGTAGGCAACACAAGTCTCAAGATCTTGATGCAGTAATTTTAGCTGTGACGGTCCCACCTGATGACGGAGACTTGTGTTGCCTCCGAAACGTCGTGATTTATTATTTATATTATTACTTCTATTAATTTTATTTTTATTTTTTTACCTACGTGACTTTACCGAGAAAGCCTCAGAGTATGCCTAACCATTCTCCGACTCCTCTCCACGTAGATACAGAGGCAGCATTTGGGCGTGTGTGAGTTGGGCTGGGGCGGAAGAGCGACGACACTTTGGGTGAGCGCATTGCGCTACGAACCCGGCGACCCGAGTTCGGTCCCCAACCGCGGCTAACATCGATGGCGAGTGCCTGAACCTTTCCCAGACATCCCCAACGGCAACTCGGCCTAAACTGAGTTCTGTACCTGGCGCGCTATTGAAATTCACGAGTAATGGGGGAGACAAAGGCGGCCGGCCGTGGGTCTGGCAACACCAGCCCTTCCTGTGCCCTTCCGGTCTTTATAGGGGCGTGTCATTCAGACCCTGTCTTCTCGACAGACATGTTTCTTCACCTGAGGACGGCTGCTTGGGTTGTGGCCGAAACGTCGTGAGAATTATTTTATTATGTTTTATTTTTATTATTTTATTACTTCCCTTCTACGTGACTTTACCGAAAGAACCAAGAAGATGAGGTGCCAACTAGCTTTGCCCCAAAAGTCTGTTGTAGGCGACTGGGATCTTTGTCTTTGGGCAGGAGGAGAGAGGGTCTCGCTCACCCCCCCCCCCCCCCCCCAAGTGAGTGTTGTACAGACCGTGGAGCTTTGGGGGTCACGGGGTCATCGAATCTCAGTGTGCATCCCCTGCGGCTCTTCGCGATTTGAATCGGCTTCGAAGGCAATGCGAGGAACACCTCTGCAATGAGGTGCACGCAGACAACGTGGACAGTCCCTCGGCGGCGATGAAGGACGGCGTTCGAAGGGATTTCAAAACCAGTTGCACGCTGTCAACTTTCCACGCACCAATTTCATTTTTCCCGGTGGCGGCTCGCCATTTTCTTCCTGGAAATATCATCAATCAAGATGCCCCCCCCCTACCCCACCAGCTCTTACCCGTCCCACGATCAAATCCATCTTCCATGGTTCGGGGTGGGTGGTGGTGGTTGGGGGGGGGTTAAAACATAAACAAAAAATCAGACAAAGTACTATAACACGTCGGGCGCAATCTCTGGCCAGCGGTGTCGCCCCGGCATTCAGATCGCAGTGCCACGCAGCCGCGCGGTGCCCCCTTTTCAATCTCCGTCTCCCGATGCCCTCCCTCCTCCCCTCCTCCTCATCCTCTCGCTCAGCTGCATGCTAGCGCGCCATCTGCTTATCCACGGCTTAGCCCCTCCGCCGCACAACACAAAAGATCCTCCCCCCCCCCCCGTGTAGCCTCCGCAGGCTGTTCGTGCGAACGCTGTTTGGCGAGCGCCTCTGATTCCTCAAGTCTAAATAAAGATTTTGATTCCGAATGTCGGCCACTACGGGCCGGCGTAGGCATCCGCGTTGCTCCGGCCACCGTCGTTCGTCTCCCCAGGGCCCATGTTCGTTCACACGCTCATTTAAGGCCGAGTCGACGTAGGGGAGGCCCAGATATTCGCCACCGACGTTGGCTGTTGCGTGGGGGTACGGTGTTGTGTGAGCACTGCGCTCACGCCTGCCTCACTGCTGCCCACCGCTGCACACCCCTCTTTGTGTGCAGAACGGAGACTCAGCAGCTCTGCAAGAAAGAGGGGGGTGGGAGTCGAGGGGGTGGGAAGGGATGGGAGAGTGGGCGGCCTCTTGTCTTGCCCTAGGCACCCATCATTGACTCGGGGGCCCCAAGGGTTTGCTATTTATCGCCTCCGGCTTTTGTTGCGGCGGTGGGGGGGGTAAAGCCACTGGTTTGCTTCGGCGATTATGATCATCAAATGCCAACAGATGTGCAAGGGAACAAACCTCCTCCTCCCTGTGTGAACAAGGGATGAGGGCGCAGCCCTGCAATCGCTCGCCAGCTCCGCCGCTGGCGGATGGTCCTCCACTCGAGGGAGGGCTAGAGATCAGCTCTGCATGGTGTTTGGCCTACTCTTCCACACTGGACAGGCATCTTGGAATAGGTGGTTAGTGCCCGACACTTTACCCCACCGCCGCACACAACCTGCCGATTGACAAATCAGTGGCAAACCAATTTACATTCCTGCCTCGACAGCGAGAGAGGTCGGTGGCGTGGACAAATTAAGAAAACTCGCCCCATCGTTTGAAAAGTGTTAAATAGCTCAGTGGGCCTTACCCGATAAAATAGTTTATAGTTTAGTTTTTAACTAACCAAATGTGAGCAGGCAAAACTTCTGCCTTCGTATGTATCTCCTTAGTATTCAGTATTCCCTCGTTATTCACGAACTTGCTATCCGCGATTTTGGCTATCTACGATTTGCACCTGGAATTCTACACTACTACTGCAGAGAGAGAGATAAAGTGATGAGATAAAGTGATGAGATTGCAGTAAGTTCATTTATAAACTATTGTTTACCATATTCTTGGTTCTTTCAGTAAAAAACCAAGAATATGAATCCCTGCAGTCACGAAAGTTTTAAATCAATATTGTTTAACACTTTAATATAAAATTTTATTTACTTTTATGCTTATTATAATAAATGTTTTTCTGTGTTATGACAATTTTCATATATTTAATCGCTTATTTACGTATTTATTTAAGGCAATTCATTACAAAAGATAGGTTTTCATGGGCCAATATCATTATCCGCAGAATCTACTATTCACAAGCATCTCCGGAATATATATCCCTCGCCAATAACGTCTCGTTTAGCCTCCGCGTGTCCGTCTCTGTGCGTTATAAATCACGGTGTTTCGTGCACAGCCCCTGGGGCCCCACGGACTTCTGGGAAGTGCGTCATTTCAGCCGCATCGACTCATTACGAGCAAAACCCCTGGGCGGGATTAGACGATGCTAGACCTGGTTCACGGTGTGTGCTGTATCATCAAGCATTGAACTAGGACTCGTGTCTTAAAGAGACGCATAGCTGTCAACCCATACGGTTTACCCCGTATTCTTGTACAGCAGGGAAATGTAATATTCAGGTCCACACATCGTACAGCCGTTTCAATACCAGCAAAAAAACATTTGTCTAATTCTTCTTGGTTCTTTCGGTAAAGTCACGTAGAATGGAAATAATAAAATAATAAACATAAAACATAATAAAAATAATTCTCACGACGTTTCGGCCACGCAAGCAGCCGT